AAGTCCAAGAACAATGGCCGTGCCTCACCAAAGAAGCCCAACGTTACATCGCATGCTTCGAAACATTGGCTCAGCTGGCCCTCATGCGTATCGCATGGTCCTGCGAAGGACAAAGCGTGCATGGCATTTGCATGCCCACAGGGACAGATAATACAGCTTCCGAGGCAGGAGTTAATAAATTGTTCACCGCTGCTTGGCCCTTACAAGTCTTTGTGCAACTTGTAGCCGCCTGGGCCCATAAGCACAAATGGTCCGTTATCGCGTCACACATCCCAGGAGAGCACAACATCTGGGCGGACCAGCTTAGCAGAGGTAATACCTCCGCCTTCCAGGCTTGACCATATGCCAGAGTGCGCTTTAAGCCGCATGACTTCTGGCCTCACGCATCAGCTCTCACGCTTCATTCTGCGGACGCACCGTGGAGACCCGAGCACGTGGCTGCATCGCAAACGCACTAAAGAGGGGGTGAGGTGATTTGACCGTTTGCTTAGAACTCTAAAGTGGGGGCATTCCGACAGGCTCCGCATGAGATGCAGGAAGATGGAGTGGACGCGCATCGTCACTCCACCTGCATCTCAGAGCCTGCACTTCTAAGCAACGCTCAAGTAAAAAAGCGCGTATCGAGTTTGCTCCGGTCGGTTGCTTTTTTCCTTGCATGTCCCTTTAGGCTTGAAGCAGTGACCAAGATTCTAACGCTAGGGGTTTGTCTTTTCCCCTGTGTTTTAATCTTGGTTGAATCTTCGGCCGCGTGGCCGTTTCTGCTTCAAGCCTTTTGGTAAGGGACATGCCTTGAGGGTTTGACCCCTCTTTCGTTCTTTTTTGAACCCACCCTCCCACCCTTTCACGGCCCAGGTGGAAACCAGCTTCCACAAGGCCTGATTGAGGGATGAATGCACACGCATGAATGGAAGCTTTGCAGCTTCCAACATTTCGTTGGCTTACTGCGTCCCGCTGCTCCCGCAGGACCAGTTTGAGCATATGCAGCGAGGCCCATGCTGTGCACGCAGTCGCACATCGCCGAATGCCATCGGCATTCGGTCGGACCAGCCTTTTTTTTTAGGAGGACGCATTCCTCCCATGCATACCTATGCACGCATTGCATACATGTGCAGAATACCTCCTATTTGTCTCACACCCCTTGGGTAAAACACCCTGTGTGATGGTCGAACACGCAATGTTGACCACGGGGGCATTCCGACAGGCTCCGCATGAGATGCAGGAAGATGGAGTGATTTCAGAGCCTGCACTTCTAAGCAACGCGCAAGTAAAAAAGCGCGTATCGAGTTTGCTCCGGTCGGTTGCTTTTTTCCTTGCATGTCCCTTTAGGCTTGAAGCAGTGACCAAGATTCTAACAGGCGTGCGTTCACGGAGATCATGCAACCTGGTGGCGAATGCAGATCTGCGTATAAAGGCGCAAGCCAAGATCTCAACTCTAGGCTCAGGCAATTGCTCCTTAAGCTTAAGAGTCTTTTGGTGAAATCGATGGACCATTTACACCAAACCACGCAGTTTTGGTTTGGAATTGCACTTTTTCCACAAGTTCTCGACAAACACGCTTTGCGCGGGTGTGCTGAGAGAGCCGTGCAGCAGTCTGAGCAGGACTGCTCCTGTCAGTTGCCACCAGTATGCGGAGGGCTCCGAAGTGGCATGCCCGGTAATGGTACAGAGTGTTAGCGTGGCGAAAGAGCAGTCAAACCATGCTCGCTAGGGTGCACTTGAATTTGTTTATGTGCTCCAAGCTGGCACCGACAAATGGGGTTTACCGCAAACAGTGTTGGGCCAAGCACGGTTCTTTCCCGATCCGTTCCTGGTTCGCAGAAACCTGCAAGTCCAGCTGCAATGGCCGTGCCCAAATCTTTGTGCACTAGTTGCCGCATGGTACACAAGCACAAATGGTCGGTGATTGGCATACATTCCGGGCGAGCGCAACGTGTGGGCTGATCAGCTCCCGCGGAACACACCCCCTTTGACAGGAAACCGCGTGCTAGATTTAGGTTTAGCCCGCATGATTTCTGATAAATCCGCGCTGTTTTTGCATCCAGCCGACGATCCGGCGGCCGGAGTATAAGCGTGCTTTGCAAATGCACTGAAGAAGGGGCGATATAGATTAGGCCGTTTGCTTGGAACCCTGAAGTGGGGGCATTTGAGCAGGCTGCATGGGGTTCGGCGCAGGGAAAGGACACGCGTTGTCTTTCCTCCGGCACCCTTACTTCCAAGCAACGCCTCATAAAAAAAAAGAGAGCGTAGCGCACCTTTTGTCGGTCGTATTTTTTTGTCTTGTGCATGTTCCCTTACGCGAAGAGTGATCAAGATTCTAACGTTTGGGGTTTTCCTTTTCCCCTATGTTTAAATTTTGATTGAATCTTCGGACGCCGTTTTCTGCTCCAAGCTTCTTAAGGGTCATGCTACCCACCCCTGCATATCTGAGTGGCTGCATCCAGCACAAGGCACAAGGCTCGCAGCCTTGATTTGCCTCTGCATCCAGTCACATAATGTGACAACACGCGTGCCATCGTTGCATCTGGCACTGTTCAAAACAGGACACAGTTGCCCGCCTGGCGTCCTGCATCGGTCGGATTACTCAGACCTCGCTCAAGATGTTAGACCTCTAATCGGTCGGATGATTGAGGACGCTTGCCTCATCGTCGCACACAAGCTGCACGCGTTGCATCTTGTTGCATTTCAATGTCACCCTTTTGCATTTCACACCCCCAGGGTAACACACTCTGTGAACAGGTTGAGGGCATTTGAGCAGACCGGAACTGCCAACGCAGATGTGTCTCTTGAAAATCGGCCTGTCCTTCTCGAGCTATTTGGATGCCGACCAGGACAGTGTGAGCGTTGCCATCGCTTTAAGGCGTGACACTCCGTTGGCTCAGACCTTGGGATGGAGCATGCTACTGTGCTACGTGATTGGCGTACTTGGTCTTCAGTGGGGAGTCATGGGATTCCGTTGCTTTCAAAACCCCACCAAGGCATGTTTTTGCAAGCTCATTCACCTCGACACCGTTGCAACAAGGCTCACGCTACCGGAAGATCAGCAACGGACTTGGAAAACCCATCATTTTATTAGGACTGTTGCTGAAGACATCCCGCAGGCAATCCTTCAGACGATCTATATCTGCAGCATCAGCCGGAACTTTTTCATGATCCTCTCCGTTTGCACAGCCGTGGGCGGCTCGCTATTGGCCTTCCGGGACGCGATCAATCGCGGGCTTGTGGCCGCCGGCTTCAAGAAGAGCCTGACGAAGGTGAAGGCAGTGTATGTAGTTTCTCGCGAGACCATTCATTTGAGATGACGAGTGGGAAGGTCTTGGGCACGTTGTTGGCAAACGGCACATCTCAAATGGACATTAAGACGTGAAATCTCGGACGTGGAGACAGGGTCTTGGAGCTAGAGGATGGTGAGTTCATCACCAGTGTTGAGGGTTGAAACTGCAAGGCGAATTATCTCTGTTTTCAGATAACCTTTCACACAAGCAGAGGCAACTCCAGGAGCTGTGCCGGTAAATGTGCGCGGTTGTGTAGCGAGAGCTTCTCCTATTCGGCCGCTCCAGACCACATGATTGTGGACTGCAAGTTCAGACATGGCAGGTGCAAGACTCGGAGTAGCCATCACAAAGATGTTGGCGAGGCAGATGTGACTGGAGAACTAAATTTGCTCAAGAGCTCCAAGGCCTTTACGTACTGTTCCTTGAAAACTCTACAGCATTGCGCAGTTTGTCCAGCACTCACCGCAAAAAAGGGTGCGCGTCACAGCTTTGTTGGAAAGAGTCCAATTCTGATTTGGAGCGATAGCACGGGCAGTAGGAGGGCTATGAGCCCTTCATGGCCCCTAATACTCACTCATGGTTGCTGTTGGGCTGCAGTGGTCCCTTGCTACCAAGAATGGCTCTACGCCAGAACAGGCATCTGAAATCGCGGTACTTCCATCAAGTTGCTTACCTCGCGCCCTGTCCAGGGTGGGGTTGCCAACCGTTTCGCTCGGTTTCAGTTTCCGCTTCTTCGCTTCAAAATCGCTCATGATTGCTTAGCGTGTTCCCAGCCCTTGCAACAATTGACAATGTGTGGGTTGGTTGGTCGGTTGGTTGGCTGGTTGGGTGGTTGTTGTGGCTGGGTTGGTGTGTGTGTTTGGCTTGGTTTGGTTCCGGTTGGTTGAACCAAGGTTTGTTCGTGTGTAGATGGTGAACATCGTACATATCGTATAGTTTTGTGTGTGGGTGTGTTTTGGTTTGGGTTGGTGGGGGTGATCTGTGGGTTGGTTGGTTGTGCGCTGGTTGTTGCTCCGCCTGGGATCCAGAAGACATGAGTTGAACAGGCATCTGCATGCCAGAGCCTGTACCTCTGAGCAACGCATAGAAGAAGAAGCTGCGCGCTCGTCTGCCTCATTGGCTTCATTTCTTTTGACATGTTCCTTGATGGCTTGAAGCAGTGAACAGGTTTCTCACTGGCTGTTTTCCCTTCGTTGCAAGCTCGCTGGGATGGAGAAGTCATGGGCCAGTCAGGCAACAAATACAACGAGGAGGTGCAACGAGCTCTGCACAGTTCTTGGCATTTCTATTTTTGAATTGGTTGTTTGTGTTTTGCACAAAGGTTGGGAAACATGCTTCGTGGCTTGAGGGTTGCTTTTGTCATTCGGATTTGCCCGCAGAACAGCCCAACCTGAGGCCAGTGGGCGAGGATCCGAGGTAGGTCAGAGGTCCGAGGTCCGCCATATGGGCCGGCTAGCCCAAGGTTCGATCTCAAATATTACCAAGAAAAAATTGAAAGGATGTTTGCAATCACTAAGCAACTGGAAGGTCAAGATGTGAAAGATTGTGGAAAGCAAGACGATGGACACATCTTGCCCGGGATTGGCAATTGGGAAAGTTGCCAACCAAATAAAGCCGGCAAACCGACAAACCGCAAAGACCTAAAAGGTGCGTCGCAGCGTTTGCAAGCCTTACCGACCGACAAAATGCTTTGAGCGCAAGGGCTTTCTGGGTGATGCATGTATCTGCAGCAGCGTAGATCTTCAGCGGTCCCACTTTTCGGCTCCGGATTGGTGTTTCGCACCTCGGCGTATTCTGTTAGAAAGTCTCCTCGCCGGCTTTGCCCAAATTGTTGCGACAGCAAGATGCAAACCTAGCAAACACAGATTCACACGGCACAGAGTCTCATCGCTCCGAGGTGTCATGGACGTCGCCCTTTTTGCCAGCGCCTTACATGTATGTGCCAATATCGGAGTTGAGTCATGTGGGGCATAGCCAGTGAGTAGTTGCTGCTTTTCCCGGCCATGTCTCAATCTTGGCTTCCCAGGCCCAGGATGTAGATCAGCTCTCACAGCTCTTGGGCGAGCCCGGAATGCTCAGATCGGATTGCTGGGCTTGCATGTCGCTTTTGCAGATCCAGCCATTGAACCGGCTTCCCTGAAAAATGAGCATTGAAACAACCCATAGCAAGAGGAAAGGCTTTGGGCGAAGCCACACAATTTGTGTTTTACCGTTTTACCCTCGGCTCCGTTTGAAAGCAACCGTACAGCAGAGTACCTCCGATAACAGAAAGCCTCATGAAGACTGAGTGCAAGATGAGGTGCCACCTCCACGAAGAGAGGGATGCCCTGGCGTCCCTCGGCTTGAGCAGGAAAAAGGGATTTGGGTTCATTCATCTTGGCGCCCCAAAATGAGTCTTTTGGTCCCCACAAACGGGACGGATGCCCCATTTGTCAATTCGTGAAGAAGAGGGATGCCGAGCCTTGTCTCGCCTCGTTCTCCTTAAAATCTGGCAGGCAAGTCATGATGCCCATTGCTTCCTACGCCGGGCAGCTGGCCTCAGGCAAGCTTCTTGGCGCATCAGAATTCAGGGGCTGTCCGGCTCGTTGGTTTCCTTTTCGACTCCTCAACAGCACTCCAAGCACTCCGAGCACTCCAAGCACTCCATGAGAAGACTTGAGACGCTCCGCGAGGCATCCAGTCGCCCGGCGGCGGCGGCGGCGGCGCGGCTTCCGGGCGCGGGGGGAAGGGTGACCGAAGGGTGGGAGGTTCGGGCAGATCCAACTTCTTGGGTCCCAAGGTTGGCTTTAGGATGGGGAGTCGCCACATGTGCCCCGAACCCGCAAAACCCGCACGGCTTGCCAAAAGTGGGGGCCCGTTTTGGTATCCCCGTTGAGAGGCGCAAGGGGGCACGAGGCGGCAAAGAGGTCCCAAGAAGGGTCCATATTTTTGAGGACACCCCATATGTTTAAAAGTGGCTCAGTTTCTTGCTCGAAAAACACCGCTTTTCTCATAGCAAGATTCCCAGAACCCAATGCAAGACTGCGCCGTTGGAGGAATTTGCCTTGATCTTGAGACGCCGGACAGGCTTTGGGCCGATGAGCTCATGCGGCGCTTGCAAGGCGCGGGAGCTGAGAGCTGGCCTTGGGATGGGTCCCAAGGTCGTTGGACACGTTCCCAGGCTGCCAGTCCATGGACGAGGGCCGCGCGACGTGCGCGGAAATGCCGCTTGGATTTGGAGAGCGCAACTCGAAGCGCACGGCTCAAAGCAGCACCAAAGCACCTCTTTTTCAGGATGGCCGCCTTCCATGAGGATCAGCACAGCCAGCCTAAGCCTTGGTCGGGCAAGCGCGCGCCGTGCGCGCCGTGCTCTCGTGGGCTTGAGGCAGCTTCATCCTCCGCGTGTGCCTGCAGTGCCGATGATGACCGGCATGCCATGCACGCCGAGCATGCCGAGCGCGCCCTGCGCTAGCATGCCCAGTGCGCAAAGCCTGCCGGCAGCCACCATGGCACCACACGCAGGCATTGAAAGCAATAGGGAGACATCCGGTTCGTGCCCAGCCAAAGTTGCCGTCGCACGCTTGCTGGCTTATGCTTTTGCCAGGCATGCGCGCTGCACCTGCTGCGAATGCAGAGCTCACAGCCTGCCACCTCAGATGGGAGAGTGGTTTCGAGCCAAAGTTTTTGTGCCCAGAGTGCCAGGCTTTCATGTATAGACACTGCTCACAAGTTCATGTCCCGTGAGCGAGGCTCGACTGCAATCCCTTCAAGGCCAGTACATGCAAGCACAAGTGAAAAAGTCAAAGGCAGCAGCCTGTAGCTGGCTCACAGTTGAGGCAGAGCTAAACGAGCCGCCTATTTTGTTTCAGCAACCCTCCTTGGTCAGCTTTCGCAAGGTAAATGAAAGGAAACCGACTATTGTTTGGGTTCCCGAATTTTGAGAGAAACCGATTTGAAGGGGCTGAGAATGAGCCAGGTGCCAACCGGGTCATTGTTCGTGCTCTGCGGATCATGTCGGAGCGCTTGCGCGAGCAAGGCCTGTTGAGTGTTCGGAAAATCTGTCTGGCAGACTCGAGTGAAGTGTTGCCCGTGAGCTGCGCTGTGCGCAGGAAATCGCAGCCGACAGGCAGAAGAGACAGTCGCCCGCTTCTTACAATTTGTTTCCCCAGCTTTCGGCGTCACAAAAAACTTGGTGGCCAATCCAATCCACTGGGTGAGTTTGAGAGATCCCTCGGCAGAGTTTCCGGCAATAGTCAGCGACCTCGGCAGTCTGTCCTTGGCGGCTCCCAGCCATCCCCTTAGGTTTTTAATTCACTGCAAGTCAAGCTTTTAGCGGGGGATCTGAGGGCGCAGTGTAGAATGCTTATTGAGGCGTCTCTTTTCAAGCTTAGGCGCGCCTGCAGTCAGAGCTGCAGGCATGCCGCGTGGCGCGAGTTTTTTTTTTTGCAATATGAGAAGTCAGCGGAGATCACTGCCGGGGGTGGTCCTCACTTTTTGGTTTTTGTGTTGGGGGTCCGGCGACTTGGGCATTCTTGTGAGCGTTTGAAGTGGGCTATTTGGGCCATTGAGGTTCCAAAGGTTGGACATGTTGGGCACCCTGTCAAGTTGGCAATGATTGGGTTTTAGAGTGCTTGCTCGGCATTCGACCTGGTGTGTCTTCTGGGGATTTCTCCCGCGTTTTGGGCGGGGCGGGGTCTGTTTGTTTCAGGGAAGTCAACAGGAGACACGCGTTCAAAGGGGTTGAAGCGCCCGGCCCTGGAGTGGTTTTGTGGTGACCGATTCGGTAAGGGTTTCTTTGTGAGCCAAAGGCCCGGGACGAGCAGCTGCGCGCCTCCGAGCGAGCGAAGGCGCTTCGCTCGTGGCTTTGGTTTTGTTGTGGGAGGGTGCCTGTGTTTGTGGGTTGAAACGCTAAAAGGATGCCGCCCACTTTGGAGGACAAGACACAATTTGTGGAGAGTGAATGTGGGGCTCAGGGGGAGACCGATTTTGTAAAAGGCTTTTTTTAAGGGTGTCCACCCTCGCCTGAAAATATGGGTTTGTGTCAGCACCTGAAATCGATCGGGTTTCTATTTGGTGTCCTTTGAAACCAAGCCCAAATCGGGTTGGAGGAAAGCACACGCACAAATGTGTTTGTCCAGACCTTCCGGAAGTTCCGCGCTTGTCCGGAAATTCCCGGGAGGCCATGCTGCAGTCCCGCGTGGAGGTGCTCCTGCGTGGGGAGGCCTTCGATATGCCCCAGGCGAGAGGGGATGTGACTCAGCGACTCCGGCTTTGGTGGTTTTTGTTTTTTGGATGGTTGGTACTGTGGATGGCTTTAGTAGGCGGTTTGTCCCAGTCATGGAGTTTCCTCCATGGTGCAAAGCCCATCAGTGTGGATTTGCACTTTTGGGGGCCATGTTGAATTTGTTTTTTTTTTTTTGTCGGGGTGGTGTTTCGAGGGGACATAGAGGAACTCTGTGGACCGCTTAAAAGGGAATTTTGACAACAATTGTAAGGCTTCCAATTCAGGGAACCACCATAACCTGCATCAAGAGTTTTGACCATGCCGCACCGCATGCAATTCCCAGGGTAGAGGCATGGCTAAGCGAGAAGCATAGCTTTTCTGTCTTTTTCGCCTCTTTCGGCTTTGCTGGCTTGCACGCCTTGCTGGAGTCGAAAGCCCAACGGTGAGAGAGGGGGGGGGGAAGGCCGAACAACATCCGCCTTCTAAAAAGTTGAGCCACCTGGAAGATGGCGACCAGGTGTGCAGCAGGCCGTGCAGCTGAGCGTGGCGCGATCTAAACCTCGCCAAGGTTTGCTCGGTTTTTGGTGCTTGTCTCGGTTGCTTTTGGCTTTTTTCCGCCTTATAGACCTCTCCAACGCTGAGCTGGCGTTTGTGTTCGGTAGGCAATCCCAACGGACATGGTACACCAACCAGCCAACGAAGGTCATATAGCAAATGAAATCTGGCAGACTCAGCCGGAAGCAGCTGAAGGACGAGCCCAAAGCACATGCATGGTCTGTAAAGGTCTCACGTCAATTCCCGGAAGCCTTGGCCGTTTAAAACGGCCTCGCAGACGGGCAAGCCCGGCGTTCAGCCCCGACGAACAGTCGGACTTTGAAGCCACACGAAGAGCTGGAAGATGTCGGAGTCACTTGCAGGGGAATGTCCAAGCAGAGGAAGTCATTTCGAGAAGCAGCAGAAAACAGGCACGCAAGAAAAACGCCAGGCTGTTGCAGCGTTGGAAGGGCCCTTTCAAAAGCGCTTCAGGCTTTGGCCCATTGGTGGTCGCACAGACCGAGGCCACCAGCTGGGGGTTCCACAAGGTTGGCAGTCCCTTGTGCCTGGCGTCATGTGTACAGAGCCACGGCACAGAATTTCCGCATGACCTCGGGGAGCAAAGCATCTGCAAGCTGATGTTCAGAGCTCCGATTGCTGACAGGCCCCAGAATCCGGTCCTGTCTGCGATCGGATCAGTCGAGCTTTGAACCTGGGAAGTCGTGCGAGCAGGTATCGCATTTCCACCGGACGTAGCCGCAGCCAAAAAGACTTTGTGCACCCCTATTCTGAGCACCATGACATGTCACTGACTCGTGAGGGTCTCATGAAGCCTCGTATGCCTTTTCTCAGTCTTGCCTACACCTTGGACCAATGTGGGCGCAGCTGTTCAAGCATTGAGGGTCTCAAGACACGGTAGACCATGAAGACAGCACAGACCCGGCTGTCTGGAAAGCCCGGCTTCATGACTTGCTCGAGATTGGACAGTTCAAGAAAAAGAGAGGCCTGACAAGCCCTGCCGTACTTGAGGTTTGATCCGCGTCGTATTTTTTTCTCATTTTTTTCGCATCCCAACACCTCGCACCCCAGTGCCCATGGGCTGACTGCACCAGACCCAAGTTCCAGAGGTCCGATCGATCCCATGCGGCGGCCGCTGGCTGCGGCGGCGCTGCTGTGCCTGGCGCGGCATGGCGCGGCGGGGGGAGGAAGTGAGATGCAGGGAGCCAAGCGGCCAAGCGCGGCACCTTTTTCATTTTTTTCTTTATTCTTCTGTTGTTTTTTTTTGGGTGGGGAGTTCAAAACGCAAACCACATCTTTGGGGGTCCTCTTGTTCTGACACGTGTAGCATACCCATCTTGCAGGCCAGGATCTCTTTGAGCCGATATGACGGCCTTCAGGAACTGATGGCTCTATCTTTGATATGCAAAAGAGGGTTGCTCATTCTTAGCTTCCCTGAAGCTTTGGAGACTTGCGCAAACTCTTGCTAGTTTTTGTGAGATGAATCCATTATGATCGACACGGGCATGTGCTGTAGGCAGGGAGTTTCTCAACAGCATCCTCAACGCCTTGAACTCTTTCCGCCCAACTGTCGTCCATCCGCCTTCTTCGGCTCATAGGGTTTGGGATTAAAAGTCCCGTTGTCGGTTTCGGCCCACCCTTACTCTTCCCACCCGCATTTCAGACCAACACACTGACACCATGCTGGCCTTGCATCGCACAGTCAACGTTCTCTAGTTGCAATTCTCTGTGAAGTTTTTGCCCCCCAAAATGTTTAAGCACCGTCTCTCCATCTCATCCTCCGGAGACAAGTTGGACGCCGCATCCGGAATTGTCAGCGCGTGAGAAATAACCTTCCCCCCCTGTATGCGATATGTGCGGCGGTATTCACCATGCTGGCCTTGCATCGCACAGTCAACGTTCTCTAGTTACAATTCTCTGTGAAGTTTTTGCCCCAGACTCCCGTTGCAGAGCAATGAGGCCTAAGGAAGAACGGAGCCTATGCCGGAGCTTTTGCGCCGTCTCCTCATCCGCATCCAGAGCTGGTTACATGTTATAAGATGGGATGCGTCCAAATCCGGGCCCCGCCAGTCTGAAGACTCAGCTAAAGACCAAGTGGCCCATTCCTATAGTGAGTTCTGTGCGTGCCTTTGGGGACCTGGGCGCAAAGCAAAGAGCAAAGAAGGGATGGCCTTCTTATAAGCTGCGGAAATCTGGATCTCTTACGACATGTTGAAATTGCGTTTATGGCAACAACAAGTGATTGTGTTGGCGAGTTCCCTGGAACGTGCTTAAATCAGCCAGCTGCAAAGTTTCATACAGCCTTGATTTCTTGGGCAGCGCGCAACTCGGGCTGAGCCGCTTGAAGCGCCACCTCTCTTGCCACCTGCCAACGCAACCAACTTCATTGCGGTCGACTTCGGCTTGACAAATGCCATAACCGGTGGGAGACGCGTCACTGCAATGGATAGTGGGGCTCCAACTTCGTCTAATATCTGCGTAAAGCACAGGTATCAACCCTGCAAATACCTTCGTAGTGCGCTGCATGAACATGGAGATGGCACGAATGCTAGATTGCTAGCATCAAATGGTTGGACTTCCCTGGTTGTTGGATCATGGCCAGCTGAAAAGCATGCAGGGAGATGCAGGGTACAATCTTTTGAGGGCACTTCTGCTTGACTTCGGTCAAACCCACCCAGCTTTCAGCAGGCCGGGTCTTCACGAGCAGCCTTCGGCCCGGCCCGCGGCTGCGGAGGACTCGAGCCACGGATCTGCTCTCGAGTGGGACTTCCGTGGATCGACGCTTGAGCAGAGTGCGTCAAGCGGAAATGAGTCAGGTCCGAAGATGGGAACACCCGTTTTTTCACCTGTTTTTTTGGGGAGAATGGCCTCATTCAAGGGAACACCCATCAAGAAAAAAACCTGGTCCGATTGAGGGCCCACGAAGGGTAGCTTGAAGAGCGTCGCGCGGTTTTCCTTCGAAGGACGGGCTATGGCACCTGGACGGGCGGCCGGGAGAATGGCGTGCTGCGCCCCGCGTCGGCCCGGGCCTTGGGCAGGGGGAGTTTCTGGCGCAATGATGGCCGTGGCTTCTTCACCACTGGCGTGCTTTCGGTGGTTGGTTTGCCTCCTCCAAGCCCGGAATGGCTGTTGAGACACACAGCACTTGGAGTGATGGGAGCGCAAGGCCTGGTTGATTATTGGTGTGTCCCAGTCTAGACGGGTTCCTTCACTTTGGGTAACCTCGCAACAGAACAACAACAACCGGGTTGATCTACCCGAAGATCGACGTTGGAACTCGCGATCTCGAGGTGGCGCAGGCCTCGGCCGGAGCTCCCAGCCCTGCCAGGGGCCCAGGAGTCCGGGCGCTGATGCAAGTTTCCTTTAAGGGGGGGTGATGTCTCGGTCTTAGATTCATTCCTTTCTTGTGGAACCCATGTTTCTTTTGGACATATGGAGTCTTAAAGAGTTGAGCCAAAACCAATCAAGCAAGCTGAGCTGGGGGCAGCTGACAATGAAAGCCTTGTTTCCGATTTGCCACACCCACTTGGGAGGAATCAATGGTTGTGGACAACGCGGTTTTTGGGAACCCCCCCAAAAAATAGCACCTTGATACTTTGCCCACATCAGGTCTGCAAGTGTCAAAACGGGACCCCACAAAATTGGTTTCCTTTTGTTTTCCTCTAATCCAGCCCCAAAAAGGGTACCAACTCCACAACGAGACCTCAGCCCAAAATGGGGCCCGACACGCGCGCCAAATTCTGAGGCCATGACCCCGGAAGCCGCGGTCCAGGCGTTGCTGCAGGCGGCCGGTCCTGGTGCAGGCGCGGACTTTCGAGGTTCGGCGGCTGGCGTTGGTTCGCCTCCGCGTTGTGGCCAGAGCAATTCCTCGTGCGATCGAAGTGGAATCCACCAAACAAACAACCAGTTCGTTTTGTCGCAGGGTTCGTTTGGCCCAGATATGAGATAGATTCAGCCGATTTTAGCCTGGGAGGGGCCCTGGGGGTGCTTCCGGGGAACTTGGCAGCTCTTGCAATGTATCCTTTGAGGGACCCAGCGATGGATTGGCTCAGGATCTCCGCCGCCGGAAGTGGTTGGAGCCGCGTTGAAGGCAAGACCTGGCGAATCGAGGGAAGAGCGGGTTCCGTTTTTTTTTTTTGGGTGCAAGGTAAGACTCAGTGGAGTTTGTCCAAAAGCTTTTGGAAACCGCTGGGTCAAAATTCCGGAATGCTCTTTTCAAGTGATCACAGAGTGGGGGGTGGAAGACCCCGCTCTGGCCCCTCAACGTCCAAACCCGAGAAGGGTATATAAATTAACCCCCCCCTCCAAACAAGGCATGCCCCAAGCAACAAGAACTCCAGAATATATGTCTTGGCTTCCCTAGCCAACCAGGGGCACCCTCAATGACTCAAACGAGACGCCATGGCACGGAGGCCACGGGCGTCCCCGCCACCTTGGCGAATGTGCAGCGCGGCCTGCAGGCGGCCCTCGGTGTCAGGAGCCCCGGATATGCAGGGCACGGGGAGGTGGCAAGGGAAGTGAACCATTTTTCGGTTTGTTCTTTTTGTTTGTGGACTTTGTCGTTCCCCAATTTTCGTCCATGTCAAGGCAAGATCGCCTACAAATGGCATCTGCTTGGTTTTGTCTTTTCCATCCCATGTAAGGGTGGAAGGTGCATACTGCTTGTTCACAGCCCTTGATGGTAAGCACCAGATTTGGCTCTTCTCTGCACCGGGCGTATCTGCAGGGAGAAGGACATAGCAACGCTTTGGACTGAGGTAGCTCCAACCGCTGCGCAGATTGCAGCGGCGACGCAGGCTGCTCCAGCCTCAGGGTCTCCACAGGGGTCAGCAAGCTTGGTCTGATGCGGGCAGTTGAGTGTGTGCCGAACATTGGGGTCCTTGAAAGAGGCGTTGTTCTTACAACTTTCCAGCAAGGCAACCAAAAAAGGATGCCCTCAAAAGCACACCCGGCGGCTGTTTTTGCTGGCTGTCATCGGAGGCCGCCGAAGGGCTCGCGCCAGATTTCTTCGATGGCCCAGCAGGCAGGCAGGGGGGGGATGCAGCAACCGACGGCGAGAAGATGCCGTGAGTCCATGGCATCGTTCATGGTGACCCGTTTCGCCTCCACTTGCAACGAGGCGATGCTGCGACCGCTTCTTTCCCAGCGTCAGCAGCTCAGGGCGTATGTGGAGGTCTGATCAACTGAAAGTTTTGCTCAGGCCAACCACTCCAGAGGAGGTTGTGACGCTCCTGTTGCAGGCGACGAGATGGAGCCAGCCGAGTCTTTCCTTTGCTGAGAGTCTTGGTGTAGCTCCCTTTTTTGACCCTCACAGTCTTGTCGCGTTGGTGCTTCTGCTCCAGCTGCGCAAGGCCGGGCCGGCCAAAGAGAAGCCGCCGGCAGATGTGGTGGGCGCAGCCCTGCGGGACGCGGGGCTGGAGATCACCGCCGAGAATGTGCTGCGGGCCCTGAAGGCGGGTCTTCGATCGCATCGGAGGGCTTCGGCAGCCCAGAGGTCTGGCCACGCGCGAGTTTGGCGGTTGCGCGCAGTTGCTGCCAGGCGGCCAGCCCGGGTGAAGAGCCGTCCTCCAAGGAGCTGAGTCGCTTTGCGCGGAGAGTTTCTTTCATTTCCACTTGGTGGCTCATGTCTGTGCTTTGGCCATCAACTTCCTTTCGAGCCAGTTGGTCTGTCATGTCTTTGGGTAGCCATGAACTTCTTTGTTTTTTAGTTGGTTTCTCATGTCTGTGCTTTGGGTAGCCAGCGTGTTGCATTTCCGAAGGACCTGGGCGCGGCGCTCAAGGCCGCCATGGCGCGGCCTGGGCCGCAGGGCTATGGGGTGGGCCCCACCGCCTCGCAGCTCCCCGGGGCCGCGGCGGCGGCGGCGCCTGGGGCGCCGGTTGCGGGGGCGCCGGCGGTGGGAGCTGTGCAGACGCCGGAGGAGGCCGGATGCTACGAGGTTGTCTGGAATTTGAGGAACCCCCGAAGTGCTTGCTTCTCTTTTTTTGGGAGGGGCCATTCTCGTCACGCTGCGTGCACCAGTGTTGAATTCGGCTGTTTGCTGTGCGCAGGTGGTGCAAGCCCTGTTGCAGATTGCCGGCCCAGATGCTGGGCTGCCACCGCCAGAAGTGTTGGGAACAGCACTGCGTGCCGCAGGCAGGGGCGAATCCGATTACGAGCCCGAGGTGTAGGGATCGGCTACAACTAGTGTTTGTTTTTGGCAGGTCGTGGATTTTCGTTTTTGTCCCGGCAGCCACGTTCCCAAGTCTCGGGTGTTTGGTGTCTTGGTCCCGGCAGATGGACGCTTGCCAGGTCTGCCCGTTTCCCGGGAGAACGTGCTGCGTGCCCTGCGCGCAGCGGGCGTTGGCGGAGCGAGCCCTACCGAGGAGGCCCTCAGTGTGGCATGCTGATTGCGTGGCACCGCTTGCGCGTTTGAAAGTTGCGGACCCAATTTGTTTGAGCTCGGGGGTTCCGGCGCGGCAATGCTCCGGTGGCTATGCCGCCAACGGGATTGGTTTACCGTGATGTCTTGACGGCAGGATGTGCAGAAGGCGCTCGCAGGCGCTGAGGCTGCGCCAGCACCATCCGAAGCCATGGCTGGGGCTATGTCATCGCCAGAGGAGGCGCTTGTGTCGAGCGGAAATCGGAACCACCTGGTAAATGCCTTTCATACTTTAAGGCTTGGGTCCAAGGGTTTCGGGGGCCCAATAAACTTGGTGGTTCGACATCCAAGTATCGGACTCGATAGTGCCTCTTAAAAATAGGGACCCCTGCGAGTGACTTCCTTCCGTTGTCTTCAAATGTCGGGCGTCAAATGGTGGGTCACTCTCTCCAAGATTCAAAGGCATATTCTGCTTGCTTTCTTTTGTTTGAAGGGTTTCTATTTTTGATTGGCGATCCACCAAGTTTACTTTGTTTTTTGCTTCCACTCGATCAGGATTGGTGATTTGTGTTTTGCTCGGAACACACGAATTTGAGGGAAGCAGAACAAAGCTGCATGCGACACCGTCTAGCAACATTGCACAGTTGACGCAGCCATCAATGTAGAGGGCCTTAGAGGGAAGCCGAAAGGGGTCCACCATTTGGAGAAACACTCATGTTTGTCATGGTCCCCAAGCCCGGGGGTATTTTTTTTCCCGTTCGTCCGTTCGTCGGGTTAAAGGGAAACCAATTGGCAACACACCATGTGTGTGGCTTCCCCGGAGAAAGATGAGGGCCGAAACCTAACGTGGTTGGTTTCCCTTTTGTTTCCCCACCAACCAGGGTCTATGTTGAGACCATCTTGGGTGTCCCCCAACCAACCCACGATACGTCTAGGGGTACCTTCCCATTCTTTCCAGGGATCCTTCTTTTCAGGCAACCATTCAAATCCCAGGGGAAACAGCCGGCTTTTGAAAAAGGAACGATGGTTGAAGAGAATAGAAAAAGGATTCCACCAACCCATGTGCCTCAGTTCCAACCCCCCCGATTAGCCCACCCGTCGCCCGAGTCAGCCTTGGCGCCAGGTGAGCCACAATCAAAACCCGGGTAGATGAAGGTTAAGGGGCAGTCGCCAGAAATAGTTGCGACCGCCTTCTTAATTTTTTGCATGGTTCTGGGTTCACCATTTCAATACCGGATTTTGATTGTGACTCATGTTGCCAATGCCAATGCGCGTTTCTTGGGATCCGAATGAACCACAGATTGTGAGCGATCGGCTTTGATTGTCAGGTGATCTTCGCGCTGCGCATGGCCGCGGGCCCGGGCGCCGGCACGCCGCCCCCGGAGGTGGTGGGCGCCGCGCTGCGCCAGGCCAAGGCGAGGGCTGGGGCTGGGCGCTGGGGTTGGCGGGGCGCGGGGGGAGGCGCGGTACGGCGCGCGGGGTGGGGTACGGGGTGCCCAGAGGGGTGGTCCTAGGTCCGCCTAAGAGACACCAAAAGAATTGAAGAGGAATCCTTTGGTTGCGCCGTCAAGCGGTAAGAGGTGTTGATTTTGTACACGAGCGACTTTACCTGCATTTGGGGGGGGTGGTAGGGTACATCGACATCTCGACGCGTACTGTTGGGGCAAGATTGCTTCGGCTGGAGTGAGCCGAGCCATAGCCAGCGAAGGAGTCCGCAGACCTCGTTATCCACCAACTCATGATCCGCAAACAGGTTGTTTTGGTACATGTTGAGTTCAATCCGCTTGGCCTCTCCAGTACTCCGTAGGAGTGCATCCCCTCCCACGACTAACGTAGCGCGAGCAAAACTACACTGCGTGCTCCAGGCGTTTTTTGAGGTCGTATCTGGCACCGTGCACTACAATGATGCCCACATCGTGCAGGTAAATGCGGTGGACATTTTCTCAGAACAAGTACTGAACCGCAAACTAGGATCCTCCTCCCGGCTCTTATGACGCGGATGCCGCGGCCGCCGCTCCAGCCCGGCGCCTTGGCAAAGAACAACATGGGCTCTTCGCCTTCGGCCTCGAGCACCTCCTCGAAGAAGTAGGTCTCTGCAAAGCCCCTCACGCAGCACTCTCGAAGCCGCTCCCCCAGCCTGCGCTTGGGGTAGACATCCGTTCGGGCAGCATTAGCTGCACCAGGTGCGCAGCTCGGCCTATGTTCGGCAGCTTTTCCTGGAATGTGTCGCAATAGGTGCAGACCACATCCTCCTGGAAGTCAGGATGCTTCTCGGCCAGCGCGTGTTTTTCCTCCGAAAAGGCTGCGGTGCCCCGGTTTGCTCACCTGCCGTTTAGGCCCAGCGCCTGAAATCATCCGCTGTGAAGGCTTCTCTGGCAGCAATTCGTCCCTCACTCCGTGGCACGCGCGGAGCTAGGACGGGCACAAAGTGAAAATCCCGCGAGCCGCTCACAATGAGAAGCAGCGGCCAAAGACATGCTCGCTTGAAGCCCCGTGGACGAGATACCACATGCGCCCGCGCCCTATCATGGCCCAGATTCTCTTCAATACGTTGAGCGCGCGATTTGAGGTAATTTGTGACTACTTGCAACCGGGGAAAAACCGGTTGAACAAGTGACGGAAAGGCTCGCCAATTAAGGCTGATTCGAGCAGAGCGGCTTGGCGAATTGCGCGGCGCAAGCTGTTTCAACCGTTTCCAGCGTCACCTTCCCCGCGTGCAAGGCATGCCCCTTTCAGGCAATGCCGAACTTGCTTCTGTCAGACCGCAGTGGCGGACAAACGTATTTTGACGCAGCTCCAGCACCGCCTGTGGCTGCAAGGGTCGGTTTCCGCGTGGCCTCAGATATTGTGAGCCGACGTCTAGGTGACTCCGCTGAGCGTGGAGGCGGTCGTCCGGGCGCTGAAGGAGGCGGGGGGGGGGGGGCAGCCATGAGCCATTGGTTGGCCGAACAGTGGGCCTGGCAAATGGTCGGGTGGGAGGCTTTGAGGTTGGGAGCCGAGGCTTGGCCCGAAATCCGCAGAACCCCAAAGGTGGGGGGTGAGTGGCTGGCATCGGTCGATGGAGCGAGACCTCGCAAGGCTGGGCACACCTCTCCGTCCGCGGAGACGATTCAGGCCCAGCTCCGGTGTAGGCGTCAGCCGTGGGATGCTCCAAGCGCAAATGGTTGGTTCCAAGAAGGCCATGGTGATGTTCTCCTGTTTTCGATGTCATGTTGCGAGTTGCCGTTGAGCTTAGAGGGCTCTGAAGTTGACACAGCCGAGAGACTGCTTTTGCCGAGCCAGTGCCATCAATATTTCTCCTTGACGTGACAGGCAGCGCTTCAAGCAGCCAGCCATGGCCTGCCGGAGAGCTGAAGGCGACTTCTCTCATGTTCCGATGCGATTTTCCGCTCAGCGGTGGCTGCGCGAGCTTCGCGGTGCTGGTGCGGATGCAGACGCGCCCCTTGCGTGGGCGCGAAGAACCCAACAGCCGGAATGTGTCAACGAAGCGAGCGAAGCTTCCTTTTGGTTTCTTGCGACAGCTACAAAACGGGCTTGAAGTTTGACCCATTCCCGGTTGGGGCTCAGGGCACAGGGCCCGGGTGACATTTTGAGCCTGGCCGCAGACATCGCGCCCAAAGAGGCAGACAATCCCCGGGAGTGAGAGTCTCTCACCCACCATCCGGGAGAACGAACAAGAGGATCAATTGCCTCAGGTTCTGTGTCAGTGGGTGGAAGGATAATTGTGTGAAATCTGGTAGTTGCATGGAAAGCTTGGAGCATCTACCGTAGCAACAAGCAGCTTGGCTTTGCAGCACATCAGCAAGACTGCATTCAGTTGTTGTGCAAGAGAGACGATTCGGTTAAGCAATGGATAGAGAGAGAGAGAGAGAGAGAGAAAGAGAGAAAAAGAGAGAAAGAGAGGAAGAGAGAAAGAGAGAGAGAGAAAGAGAGAGAGAGAGAGAGAAAGAGAGAGAAAGAGAGAAAGAGAGAGAGCGAGAGAGAGAGAGAAAAAAAGAGAGAGAAAGAAAGAGAGAGAAAGAGAAAGAAAGAGAAAGAGAGAAAGCTAAGACGGGGAGAGTAATTGAGAGAGCTAGCGAGTGGCCAAGGCACAAATGCCAATCCACAGATTAGCCTTGCAACGCGGGCAGCTTCAATGGTTCTGGTAATCTATCTCCGTTGATTGCAGCGTTGCCTGCATGTCCCCGTGTAAAGAAGCAGCTTGAGCAAACTGTGCAGCAAAAACGAAGCAAACTACACAAGGCACGCTCAGCAGAAGTAAGCACTTGATTGCAAATCTACATCATAGTGTACAAGTATCAATAGCTCCAACTCCACACGGCAACTTTCAATTTGCTCCTAATGGTGGATAAGTTGCCAAGCTTGCAACGCATGCACCATGGAGAGATGTCTAATGGACAGACGACAAGTTCTAGATAGTCTTTGAGTTGGGCTTTCCATGCGATTCGGCAGTGTTGCACGCCTGGTGTTTGTGCCTGGCGTTGCTTGGCATCCTGCACGGGGATGCGTTGAATTGGCCGCTGCCAGCTCACTTCAACACTTGGAGATCAGAAGGCCTAGCCCTCCGCGCTCGGCGCCATGGGACCCAGCGATATGCACCCGTCTGCCTGCGACGCCTTCTTTGGCTGTGGGTACTGCTCCGAGGCGCCTAAAGCGGGCTGAGCCTTTTGAATTGCACACGGCTTGCACGCCAGGCGTACCCGGATGAGAAGCAGCTGTCCGTGCACATCAAGATGCAGCACGAGGCATGACTCGCATCGGGACTCGGGACACTCAGGACACTCGGACACCCCTCGTGACATGAGCCGATCAGCCGAGGGCCAGAAGTACCTCTCCGTGCCGGCGCCCCTGCCCTCGCGGGAGCAGCGGCTGCTTCATCAGCCCTCGGCGGCAGCGATCTCCAAAGACATCCCGCTCTCCGAGGCAAGGGGATGGCTTGTGCCCGGATTTACCTTTCGGAGGACGAGTAAAGACTTGCACCGACTTCCCATGTTCCTCTGATGTTGTGGCGATTTCGGGGCTCGGGTTTGTTTACTGCTGCAGGTGAACCGCCACTGCACTCCCGAAGACTGCTGGGTGGCCCTGAATGGCAAGGCCAGGCGTGTGTGGCAGGTGCGTTTCCTCATTGTTGTTCTCCATACACAAAGTGCATGTTTGGTATGGGCAGGCTGGCTGGATAAGCGTGAGTGTTCACATCGACATCAGCTTGCGTACGAGTCTGTGCATGAGTGGCGCAGGTCTACGACCTCTCAGAGTTCATGGACAGGCATCCAGGCGGCCCCACCACCATCCTCTCCTGGGCTGGCAAGGATGCATCCAAGCTTTTCAACGAGATTCACAAGGGCGTCAAGAAGCGTGGCAGCACAGTCCGCATCAGGTCTCTTTCAGGTCTTTTTCAGGTATGCTTCTTCATTCCTCCTCTTTGGCGCTGCTGCATGCTGCCGTCGTGTCACGCAGTTTAACACCATCTCTTCACGTTTCTTGTCGCGTTGCGCCTGAGATGCTCCAAGGATTGACTCCTACTTGCGCCCGGAGGCTCTCCTTGGAAACTTGGGCGTGGATGAGAGCCTGATGTCGGATGAGTTTTGGCACACGCTGCGGGAGGCCGGTGCTGCTGTTGTGACGCTCATGCCAAAGTGTGATTGGACCGCGCCAGACGTACAGTGCACGATTGACCAGTCGACCCAAACAAACTTGACAATCGGCTTTGCGTACTTTACATGTTATTGAAGCACCATGCTGAGCATGCAGTAGGCTTGAGCACCATGTCGGTCCCGTTTCTCGTGCAGCAAGCCTGGCGAGGCACGCATTGTGGAAATCCGGGAGGAGATCGACCGTGTCTTGAGCCAAACAAGCTCTACGCACAAGGCGGACAGCATCCAGCGCCTTTTGCAAGACAAGATGCTGGGACTGCAGCGAGTGTTTAAACGACTTGAGCGCTTATTTTCCGCTGAACTTGACAGGCGGTTGTTTTCCTTTCTCTTTGCATCGAGTTGACGCGTCGGCTTGAGGAGTCTCGACTCCGGGCTGAAGACCAAGCTGCAGCGCCTGGAGACACAAAAACGTGTGGCCTTGGACTCAGAGGCAGGATGCAAAGTGAACAAAGTAAACAGCGCATTCCTTTTCATGTTGCCAAGACCAACTCTCTGGCAGTTTTTCTGTTGTAAGATTGGGTGTGTTTTGCATTTTTGCAGGAGTACGACAAGGCTGCGGGGGTGAAGAAGGAGATCGAGAAGCTGCTGGCTGCTCAGGACTCCGCAGTGAGATGGTTCTGGAAACGAAGACTGTTCAGAGGGACAGAGGGGCATATTGAAAGGCAGAGGGTGAAGGTTGCTTTGCCAAACCTTTGCGCACCCGCTTGCCGTCAGCACTTGGGGGTAGAGCACATGTGGCATGAAGCATGCTGCCGCTTGCTGTGCGCAGGACGTGGCTCACCTGCACGAGGTGCCGCTGGAGTCAAAGAACCTGAGCGGGGGCATCCCCTTGTCTGAAGTTGCGCGTCACAACAAGCCGCACGATTGTTGGATCGCCATCAACCGGAGCGTGTACGACCTCACAGACTTCTTGATGCAGCACCCAGAGCAGCGCAACTCCATCCTGGCGTGGGCGGGCCGCGACGCCTCGGCGATGTGGGACAAGATCCCGGGCAGGTTCCCCAGCAAGCAGTGGATGGAGTTCTTCATGCGGCCGGAGGCCAAGATGGGAGAGGTGGGTGAGGAGCCGGAGAAGGACCCGGTGATGGAGCAGCTGAAGCAGCTGCACGACGAGCTGCGGCGGCTGGAGGGGCCCTCCAAGGCTGACATCGAAGCGGCCAAGACCTCTGTGAAGGTGCCGGGCAAGACGGACGCGCCGACGCTGTCGGAGGAGAGCCGTTTCCCCAAGCTGGCGCAGATCAGCGCGGGCAAGGAGCTGCCGTTCTTCACTCGCGCGGAGGTGGCCAAGCACACGAGCTCGGAGGAGCCGTACATGATCATCCACAACCGGGTTTACAATCTGAAGCCGCTGCTGGGCAGCCACCCTGGGGGCGATGACATCCTGCTGAGCAAGGCTGGCACCGACTGCACCAAGGACTTTGAGGTCTTCGAGCACTCGGAGAAGGCGCGCGTGCAGAGGGACCGGGACCTTCTGGTGGGCCAGCTGGTGCTGGCGGAGAACACTGACTGGTCTGCAGATGCCCAGGTGTCCCAGGTGGTTGGCGAGGAGGTGTCGGAGCTGATGCGATACATGAAGTACAAGGTCACGGACGTGGCGCTGCTGGCAGTGGGCTGGTACGTCTACAAGACGCTGCAGAACCGCAAGCCTCTGTCGCAGTTCACCTACAGCCGGGCTCTTAGACATTTGCACCTCATCATGGCTGTGGGCATCTTCGGCGCGGTTGGCACGGCCCAGGCGGCCGCCAACACGGAAGGTCAGACTCGGAAGCAGATGCTCTGGTGGCACAAGCAGTCGGGCCTGGCGATGCTGGTGGCCCTGATTCTGCGCGTCTTCTTCCGCTTGAAGAGCGGCATCCCTCCGCGCTTCCCGGGCAACCCCCTCGTGCAGATGATCGAAACTCAGAGCCTGCGCGCCTTCTACCTGTTGGCCCTGATGCTGCCGATGTCCGGCATCGCCAACGAGTACTTCCTGAAGTGGGCGCCCGGCTCTGACCGGACCGGCAATGCCGAGGACGACAAGAGGAACGACAGGCTGGCCAAGCAGTCCGTCGACGCCCACAAGCTGCTTGGCAAGTTCCTGCAGTACGCCTGGCTTCCCTTCCACCTTGGCTACACCACCCTCTATCATTATAGCCAAGGACGCGGCGTCGTCCGGAAGGTCTCGCCCTTCATTTGAACCTTGTGATAGCTCCCCAAGCGAGCTCAGAAGTTCTATCCAGTTGTAGTGAGCACAAAGTGTGCAGCTTGCATGTGCAGAAAGACTTCAGCGAAAGGCTTCAGAGATCCTCTGAATTCATCAGTTGAAATGCCGGGCCGCTTGATCCATGCGGACCAGATGCCGGCAATTTTGGTTTTGAGTAGATGAGAAGGATGCATCTAATGATGGTACCTGATCACTTGCTTTGCGTAGATTCGATGGCTCGAATGCTTTCGACAGCTCACAGTTCCCAAAAGCATTCTTGCTTTGCAAATTGGTGCGGATGCAGCCAGCTAGATAGCAATCAGGTTGTCCATCAAGAGCCTCAGCTGGCGACACGTGCTCTCAGCCAGCAGCATTTGTGACTTCCTGGTCTTTTCAAGCATGCCCAATAACGTGCATTTGTTGCACGAATTGTGCTCCATGCGATTCGGTGTTTGAGCTTCGCGTTGCTTGGCATTCTGCACGAGGATACGTTAAATTGGCCGGGCATTCTGGTATGCTGCACGGGGAACTGCGGCAGGGTGTCACTGCTTGAGATGAATTCGTGGCTGTGGCCGCTGGTAGCTCACTTCAACACTTGGAAATCAGAAGGCCTAGCCCTCCGCGCTCGGCGCCATGGGACCCAGCGATATGCACCCGTCTGCCTGCGACGCCTTCTTTGGCTGTGGGTACTGCTCTGAGGCGCCGGCGATGGCGGGCTGAGCCTTTTGAATTGCACACGGCTTGCACGCCAGGCGTACCCGGATGAGAAGCAGCTGTCCGTGCACATCAAGATGCAGCACGAGGCATGACTCGCATCGGGACTCGGGACACTCGGGACACTCGGGACACTCGGGACACTCGGGACACTCGGGACACTCGGGACACTCGGGACACTCCTGACACTCGGGACACCCCACGTGACATGAGCCGATCAGCCGAGGGCCAGAAGTACCTCTCCGTGCCGGCGCCCCTGCCCTCGCGGGAGCGGCGGCTGCTTCATCAGCCCTCGGCGGCAGCGATCTCCAAAGACATCCCGCTCTCCGAGGCAAGGGGATGGCTTGTGCCCGGATTTACCTCTCGGAGGACGAGTAAAGACTTGCACCGACTTCCCATGTTCCTCTGATGTTGTGGCGATTTCGGGGCTCGGGTTTGTTTACTGCTGCAGGTGAACCGCCACTGCACTCCCGAAGACTGCTGGGTGGCCCTGAATGGCAAGGCCAGGCGTGTGTGGCAGGTGCGTTTCCTCATTGTTGTTCTCCATACACAAAGTGCATGTTTTGTATGAACAAGCGTGAGTGTTCACATCGACATCAGCTTGCGTACGAGTCTGTGCATGAGTGGCGCAGGTCTACGACCTCTCAGAGTTCATGGACAGGCATCCAGGCGGCCCCACCACCATCCTCTCTTGGGCTGGCAAGGATGCGTCCAAGCTTTTCAACGAGATTCACAAGGGCGTCAAGAAGCGTGGCAGCACAGTCCGCATCAGGTCTCTTTCAGGTCTTTTTCAGGTATGCTTCTTCATTCCTCCTCTTTGGCGCTGCTGCATGCTGCCGTCGTTTCACGCAGTTTGACACCATCTCTTCACGTTTCTTGTCGCGTTGCGCCTGAGATGCTCCAAGGATTGACTCCTACTTGCGCCCGGAGGCTCTCCTTGGAAACTTGGGCGTGGATGAGAGCCTGATGTCGGATGAGTTTTGGCACACGCTGCGGGAGGCCGGTGCTGCTGTTGTGACGCTGATTGGACGCGCCAGACGTACAGTGCACGATTGACCAGTCGACCCAAACAAACTTGACAATGGGCTTTGCGTACTTTACATGTTATTGAAGCACCATGCTGAGCATGCAGTAGGCTTGAGCACCATGTCGGTCCCGTTTCTCATGCAGCAAGCCTGGCGAGGCACGCATTGTGGAAATCCGGGAGGAGATCGACCGTGTCTTGAGCCAAACAAGCTCTACGCACAAGGCGGACAGCATCCAGCGCCTTTTGCAAGACAAGATGCTGGGACTGCAGCGAGTGTTTAAACGACTTGAGCGCTTATTTTCCGCTGAACGACTTGACAGGCGGTTGTTTTCCTTTCTCTTTGCATCGAGTTGACGCGTCGGCTTGAGGAGTCTCGACTCCGGGCTGAAGACCAAGCTGCAGCGCCTGGAGACACAAAAACGTGTGGCCTTGGACTCAGAGGCAGGATGCAAAGTGAACAAAGTAAACAGCGCATTCCTTTTCATGTTGCCAAGACCAACTCTCTGGCAGTTTTTCTGTTGTAAGATTGGGTGTGTTTTGCATTTTTGCAGGAGTACGACAAGGCTGCGGGGGTGAAGAAGGAGATCGAGAAGCTGCTGGCTGCTCAGGACTCCGTAGTGAGATGGTTCTGGAAACACTGTTCAGAGGGACAGAGGGGCATATTGAAAGGCAGAGGGTGAAGGTTGCTTTGCCAAACCTTTGCGCACCCGCTTGCCGTCAGCACTTGGGGGTAGAGCACATGTGGCATGAAGCATGCTGCCGCTTGCTGTGCGCAGGACGTGGCTCACCTGCACGAGGTGCCGCTGGAGTCAAAGAACCTGAGCGGGGGCATCCCCTTGTCGGAGGTTGCGCGTCACAACAAGCCGCACGATTGTTGGATCGCCATCAACCGGAGCGTGTACGACCTCACAGACTTCTTGATGCACCACCCAGAGCAGCGCAACTCCATCCTGGCGTGGGCGGGCCGCGACGCCTCGGCGATGTGGGACAAGATCCCGGGCAGGTTCCCCAGCAAGCAGTGGATGGAGTTCTTCATGCGGCCGGAGGCCAAGATGGGAGAGGTGGGTGAGGAGCCGGAGAAGGACTCGGTGATGGAGCAGCTGAAGCAGCTGCACGACGAGCTGCGGCGGCTGGAGGGGCCCTCCAAGGCTGACATCGAAGCGGCCAAGACCTCTGTGAAGGTGCCGGGCAAGACGGACGCGCCGACGCTGTCGGAGGAGAGCCGTTTCCCCAAGCTGGCGGAGATCAGCGCTGGCAAGGAGCTGCCGTTCTTCACGCGCGCGGAGGTGGCCAAGCACACGAGCTCGGAGGAGCCGTACATGATCATCCACAACCGGGTTTACAATCTGAAGCCGCTGCTGGGCAGCCACCCTGGGGGCGATGACATCCTGCTGAGCAAGGCTGGCACCGACTGCACCAAGGACTTTGAGGTCTTCGAGCACTCGGAGAAGGCGCGCGTGCAGAGGGACCGGGACCTTCTGGTGGGCCAGCTGGTGCCGGCGGAGAACACTGACTGGTCCGCAGATGCCCAGGTGTCCCAGGTGGTTGGCGAGGAGGTGTCGGAGCTGATGCGATACATGAAGTACAAGGTCACGGACGTGGCGCTGCTGGCAGTGGGCTGGTACGTCTACAAGACGCTGCAGAACCGCAAGCCTCTGTCGCAGTTCACCTACAGCCGGGCTCTTAGACATTTGCACCTCATCATGGCTGTGGGCATCTTCGGCGCGGTTGGCACGGCCCAGGCGGCCGCCAACACGGAAGGTCAGACTCGGAAGCAGATGCTCTGGTGGCACAAGCAGTCGGGCCTGGCGATGCTGGTGGCCCTGATTCTGCGCGTCTTCTTCCGCTTGAAGAGCGGCATCCCTCCACGCTTTCCGGGCAACCCCCTCGTGCAGATGATCGAAACTCAGAGCCTGCGCGCCTTCTACCTGTTGGCCCTGATGCTGCCGATGTCCGGCATCGCCAACGAGTACTTCCTGAAGTGGGCGCCCGGCTCTGACAGAACCGGCAATGCCGGGGACGACAAGAGGAACGACAGGCTGGCCAAGCAGTCCATCGACGCCCACAAGCTGCTTGGCAAGTTCCTGCAGTACGCCTGGCTTCCCTTCCACCTTGGCTACACCACCCTCTATCATTATAGCCAAGGACGCGGCGTCGTCCGGAAGGTCTCGCCCTTCATTTGAACCTTGTGATAGCTCCCCAAGCGAGCTCAGAAGTTCTATCCAGTTGTAGTGAGCACAAAGTGTGCAGCTTGCATGTGCAGAAAGACTTCAGAGAAAGGCTTCAGAGATCTCAACATGATCCTCTGAATTTATCAGTTCACTGCCGGGCCGCTTGATCCATGTGGACCAGATGCCGGCAATTTGGTTTTGAGTAGATGAGAAGGATGCATCTAATGATGGTACCTGATCATTTGCGTTGCGTAGATTCGGTGGCTCGAATGCTTTCAACAGCCCACAGTCCCCAAAAGCATTCCTGCTTTGCAGATGCAGCCAGCTAGATAGCACACAGGTTGTCCATCGTCACATTTTCAACATGTCATTTGGTTCGGGAGGTATCCTTGTTCGTGCCGATTGATCAGTCGTGTGGTTCAGCTTCTGTGCGTGCTATTCTGGGATTTGCCTCACTTTGCTGGTTCCGTTTCGAACACCCTGACTCCCACTTGGTTATTTTGTTTTCGCCTTTTGTGCCCTGTTAAACCTCACTTTTTCAGGCGCGGCCCCATGGCGACCTCACAACTTGTTCTTCGTTCCTTTGACGGGTTCTGAATCAAACTTGAGTTTTGCAGATTTGACGCCACCAAACAGGAAGACTCAGTTGCACGAGTTTCGGGGTTGGCTTGTGTGAAGCCAAGCGGTCACCAGCAACTTGGCAAATATATGCGAAGATGAGACAATTGCTTGCCGAAACACGAAACATCATGAAGAACCATGCCCCTCAAAATGGTAAGAACACCCAAGGCCAAACACACAGAGACTCAGTTTTCTTCTTGCGACATGGTGAACTTGTAGTTTGTACTTGGATTCAATCAGTGTCACATGGTTACAAAGGTTTGCACCTTTTGCCTGGAGGTCCGTGTTCCGAGCATCAGGCAGTCGCACGCCGACCTTTTGGCTTGCAGGTTCAAGGGCGCTGATCGAAACTCTCTTTCCATAATTCTTTGTTCCGGCGCCATGGCCATTTCCGGTAAGTGCGGTCTGTTTAACATGTATGTTTTGATATTTTTGCTAGCTGTGGGTGTCCATGCCGACTGTGATGAGACGCAGCTCTTGCAGCATCGCGGCAAAAAGCGCGGCGCAGGGCAGGTCTTGGCATCCATCGTGGACGCCTATGAGAGCAAGAGGGGCCTGATCATCTCCGGCACGGGAAGCCCGCAGGACATCCATCCAGACCATTCAGGTTCTATTCTGCGTGCTGATTTTCCGCCCATGGTTGCGACATATGTCGGCTTGATCTTTGACCCGTCCAGGCGCCCGAAGGTGCAATGCGCCTTTGTTGTGGATGGAGGTACGGATCATCGGAAGTCTCAGTCCGGCAGTTTTTGCGGCTGGACTTATCCAGAATTCAAAAACATGAGCACGCGATGTGACTTTCCTCCGGAGGAGTATGCGCAGAGGTATCAGCTCAAGCCCAAGGCTGAGCTGAAACAATGGGGCGCCACAGCAGTTTTGGTTTGGGCCATAACCCAATCCTCGTGCAATTTCGCATCCATTGATGAAATGCTTTTAGCTGAGGAGATGTTCTGGAGGATGGCCGGCGGTATATCCAAAGGCGAATGGGACAAATGGGGTCAGTCCCGGCTAGGAACTTGGTCGGGTCCCACGGGCTTCAATGAGGTTGTTTTCGCCGAGGAGGTTTACGAGGTATCCCAGGACTACAGCACAGACTGGGTTGCGATCTATTGGGCACACACTGGAGATTTCATCTCCGACTGGAGCCAGACAGATGAGAGCACACGGAAGGGACCGTGTTGCATTACCATGAATCGAAAAGGTCAATGGTGTGACTTGGACACAGCGCAACCTGTGATCGAAATTGCCAACATGGACTTTGTCGGATGGGGTGCCCAATACGACTACGTGGGTTTGTCAGCCTACGCCCAAAGAGCGTTTGCTGATGGAAACAATGGCCACAGCAAGGAGGGCTACAGAGGCTTAGAGAATTTCCGCATTGTTCCCAAAACGGAATTGTGTGCTTTGGACTGCTCTTCCTGGAATGCGACCACTTGTGATGGGTGGGATTGAGATGACTTCGCCGGCATGTTTCGATGTTTCGACCGCATGCCTGGTGTTTCGACAAGTGCATACGGGCGACAAAGGGTGGCCCGGCTTTTCGTGTCCTCCTGGTGTGATCCAGGTCAGCCAAATGGAGCTCGGCAAATGATCGAGTGCGGGGCCATGACTTAAGGCAGGGTTGAATCGGCCATTTGCTTGAAGACGCTGCAACTTGAAGCGGCCAGTTTGTCAAGCATCCAATTGGTAGCTTCCTCTCAGGGGCCAAACATTTGATGTTTAGGGCTCGGCTTTGATCACAGGCTTGAGGGCTTTGTTCACATGGACCCATTTTTCGTTGCTGCAGAAGCTGTATGATATCCACATGTTCATAGAGTGTCAAGCAAGAAGTCAAGTCGTTTGGTGTGTTGAACTGTTGGCAAATTAGACGTTTCCCTACATAAAAGGCCAGACCCTTTCAAGCGGTGTTCCTTTTGCAACCATCTATTTTTGAACTATGGATGCTCTTGCCACTATAGACGCACAATGCACACGCACCCGCTTGCATTCCTGTGGCTCAAGCCAGCAAACGACACCTCTATAGAGGCCCAATCCGTTGCCGAACCCTGGGGAGGTGCCACCTTCCCGAATCTTCATCTATCGCGTTTCTTATGGCGGGCTCCGTGCTGCTCGCAGAGATGTATGGTCAGTTGGACTGGCTTCAGGAGCCAATGAAGGTGGTCATCAGCGAGGCCCGCCGCGGAAGCGACCTCCCGGAGGTTGCAGAGGAGCTCGAGGGCAAGGCGTTGCAGCGGAGGAAGCTGCGGCTGAAGGGCGGGATGTCGCCCATCAGCATGGGGAGTTTGGGCCATCCGGAGCTTTGCCGGAGGCGTGACATTGGGTCAATGGAAGAGACGAGATTGAACAAGAATCAGGACACATTTTTTGCGTTTTGGTAGCTGGCCCGTGGGGCTTTTTGTTTTTTTGGTTTTCGGAGGCCTTGCGTCTACGTGGCCTCATACAAAACCGCGTGCCCGCACGGAAGCGCCTGCAGCTATTGCCATCTGCCGCATGCGGAGAACCGGGCCATCGACAAGAGGCAGCGGGACTTCCTGAAGAGCCTCAGCGACTCTGAGCTGCTGGCGATTCTGCTCCCGCATATGTACCTTTGCTTTCGGCTTTCGTTTCGCCTCTCGTTGGGGAAACCAAGCTCCCGAAAAACCGCCACAGCAGCAAGTGGGGGAAGCTGATGGGTTGCGAAGGTGAGTCGCTTTGGAAGAAACCTTTGGGGTAAGAGGACCACATTGAATGACTCGTCTTCCTGGGGCGAGAAGACACACACACACACACACTTACACGTTTGTGTTGTCCAGGTTCCTTGGCAGTGAGGGCTGAACGTCAACTTCTTTTGGAAGTTTCTGGGCTCCCAAAGGGTGGAAGTGAGGTACGCCAAGGTGCTCAAGGGCCGCATGCCGCCTGAGACGATGGAGCTGTTGCAGTTGCTGCAGCTGAGATGCGGCTGGGGGGCCTTCGGCCCTCCGACGGTGGGCTGCCCAAACGGCCTGGAGGCGGTTCTGCAGCGGATGACCTTTTCATGGCTGCTGAGCCTCCTGTCCTGCAGCAAGGACCTTGCAGCTTTTGCGGGGGATTTTTCCCTTTTGAATATTTTTCCCTTGTTGGACATGCGAAAGGGAAAGCAATGGGCGACCACATCCAGGGATATTTCGGCTTTGTTCATCTCCGAAAGCACCCCCCCCCCCCCCCTCCCCATCTACCCCCATGGCACCCCACGCCCCCCCCGTGCCTTTTGGGGTGCCAAGCCCATGGACCGCTTTAAGCGATCTGATCGAGAGGATCCGGAGCTCACGTTGCTGGTGGACCAGCTGCGGGTGTTGGGCGACGTTCGCCCGTGATCACGGGGAGCCGGCCGCCCGGCCGGTGTTCGGCTCATAGCTGACCTGCTGGACGGATCGCTTCAGACACGTCCGGAAGGAAAAGAGAGCAGCGAGACCGGATCGGAAGATAAGGCCAGGCAAGTTCGAGTTGAGGATTTCTTTCACATGACGCAGGCTTCGAGCAGTTGAAAATTATGATGATCCGCATGCCCGATTTGGCTCAGACTCTCAGCACGCTTTTGTGCAAAGGCTTCTGCCACGGCTGCTTGGTGGCAAGTCGGGCCTGCAAGAGAAACAGGGTCATAGTCGCTCTGGAAGCCATTTTTTTCCCAGACCGGGGCAGTCTGTAGGGCAAGTGCCGCTTGACACGAAGCCGAAATCGACTGCCCCTGTGCCCAGGTTCTTCTCACCCTTTCCCATTGCCGCCATGTCCGTCCTTTGCCAAGGCTTGGTTCGATGCTTGCAGAATACACGGCCTGGCTTTAGCGGTGCATCGAAGGTCAATCTTTGAGCACCGCCGTCTTGCGACTTCAGCCCGGGGCTAAAGTGTGAGGCTGCTTTTGTGTGACGCTCTGCTCGGTTCAACAAATCGGCCTGGCAGGGGTGAACAGCAGTTCCCTTGTGCGGTCTGTCTTAGACTGGAGTTCTTATTTTGGCTGTTTCTAGGGGTTGTCAAAGTCAGAAACTGGGGTGGTTTCCCTTTAACCCACCAGTTAGGGGGTGATGTCTTGAGGTCGACACACTGCAAGGCTCGCGAGGCAGTTGAGGACAGTGATGTGTTGCGAGTACGGCTGAGTCAGCTTGTGGCAAAAGCTGGAGCACACTTTTTTTTTGCCAGGAAGAAGAATGGGAAGAACATGAAGAAGAAGAAGAAGAAGAAGCCTCCTGTCAGCACGTTGCCATGGCATGCAGTTCTTATTGTTCGAGCGAAGTTGCAATCACAGGAAGAAGAGGAAGAGTGAAGGCTGGCGCTTGACCCTGGCCTCGTGATACTTTTTGATTGGTGTGGCATTCTGGGACCTGGGATGTATGGAGTATATGAGTTGTCAAGTCATTGAGGGCGTTCTTAGTTCAAAATAAGCCACTCTTCTCCAGGCTCACAGTAGCGCGCTTTAAACCACATTCTGGGGACTGTGCTCGAGGTGTATTTGTGCGCTTCCCACCCGCAGAGACGAACGAGCTTCTTGCGCCAGGCTAGATGCCCACCGATTTCAGCATGGAGAACATGCCCCACACAAGTCCCCATAGGAAACCCGCGTGGCCCCCGGAAAGACTCGAGTTTAGCGGTCAGTCTGCGGGGAGTTTTGCTAAGGTACGCTCTCGCAGCATCAGCAGCTGGGTGCGATGTCGCCGCCGGCTTAGCTTGCACCTCCAACCGTCATTTGGATGAGGGCAGACGCCGTTTCCTCTTTTTCGCTGTTGTTTTTGATTGCAAGCATTTCTTATTTCTTGAAGTACTCATCGCAGGAGATGAGCTTCTTAGCAAGGAGCCCAGCGCTGTCGTGGCTTTCGTTGCATGGCTTGCCTTATATACATTCATGTGCAGACCAAATCAGCCAGATAGAGTACCACACTTGTCCTGGGACCTCGGCTCTTTTGTGTGAGAGGCCCACGTGACTGGTTCCGCATTCCTCCCTCACGCGGTTCCGGGTGCCAAGAAAGGCTGCCTTTGTTTTGTTTGACCCTTGATCCTCTTTTTTTTGGGGAAATCTTAAAGTTAACCCCCAGTACGCCAACCAATACAACCAGGCCAAGGAGGAGAGGGAAGTTACGGGGATTGCTTTCCAGTAGGTGAACTGTTCCCAAACCATCGGGTTTTTGTTTAGAGCCTGATCCCCAAAATGTGAGTCTCTTCCGACAGGAACCCGCCGCAGAAAGCGCGAACCCATGTTAGGGCTTGGCATGGACGCCCCTGAATTGGGGAATTTAGGCAGGAGAACCAGAAGAAAACCAACCATCTTGTGTGTCCATTTGGCTGTGGGTCAAAACCAATGATACCATTTTGGGGTAGGTGAATTCACCACCCAATTTTGAGAACTTATTTTAGTGGTTGGATTGAATCGGATGTTCACTGGGGGCTAACCGATTTGGATGTTGACCCATGGCCATCTTTTCCGGTTAAAAGTTTTGATGACCCAGGCGGCATCTTCCGGGAGCTCTGCGAGCTGGGCCCCGCGTGCCGTCGACAGGCGATGGAGTCTTTTGGGACAGCTCGTCTGTCCAAAAACGAGAGAGAGAGAGAGAGAGAGCGTTTTTTATCGGTAGAACGGCCCCCAGTGCTCCAGGTGGGTGTGGCTCAAAATTCAAGGGTTATTCAGGTTTTAGTCTTTGGTTCCATTTGCCAAGGTGCCATCTTGGTACATTTATTTGAGCCACAGCCAGGTGGGTAGCATGTAAGAGTCTAAGCAAGCAGACAGACAAGAAATACATAGACTAGATCAACAAGTAAATCAGTAAATAAATGAACCGGTAAATTAATCACTCACAGCACCAGCGCCCACAACAGCATTTGGGCTGCATCGCAAAACAAGCACAGCCAGTACCCACAATCCGCACCCTGACCAGCACCCACAACAGCGCCCTGAGTGCATTGCTGCATCATAAACATAAGACACTGCCAGCAACCACCACAACACCTTGAGAGCACCCCAAACAGCAACTTCACCAGCACCTGCAGCACCAATTTGGCCCGAACTCGCAAGACAGCCTGCGTCTCTTTAGAAGTACGAACCCTTATGGCTTTCAGCTGTCTCCCGAATAAGCAAGCAAATAGATAGTAATATATATATATACACAATTTGTATGCATATACCGTACAATGCGTGAATCCAGTTGATGACGAATTACTACGTTGTATGCCACTCCAAGTGCGCCCTCCAAGTGCTTCGCTTTGGGGATGTTCCCAAAGTGCAGGTTTTCCCAATGCCATTCTGAACAACCCACTCCGCACTCAGCAGTGGCCAGGTTTTTTTGGCCCATTTTTGCAAGAGTTTTCCAAAGCCATGGGTTTGGGTTTTGGGGGGACCCACCCAAGCGGCAGGTGCTGCAGCAGCACTTCTCCCAGGGCCAGCGGGCCGCGCTGGAGCAGTGGCCCGGCGCTTGGCTCGCTGGGGGTAGCGTGGCTTGGGGGGGGGGAGGGGGGAGGGGGGGTGGAATTGGGGGAGCAGGTTTGGGGGTCAGTTGGGAGTGAGTTACTGGTTCGGGGGGGGGGTTGCACTTGGGATTTGTTTGTAAAATAGGTGGGTTTAAAGGGTGAAGCCGTCAAGGAACCCTGAACCATGGTGAAAAACCACAAAGCTTCTTCAACGGCCTGCTTTGGGTTTCCTGTAAGGAAACCGATGGTTGGGTAGAGGCGCAATTGCCTTGGTGAGGGCGATGGAGTCACGACCTGTGTCATGTTTCAATGCAGGCGTGCCCTGCTGGTGTTCACATGAGATATCTCACGGTAGGTTTGTTGTTTGCCGTGGCGGTATTTTTGCGAAGGTGCCAAGATTCGTCCTGGCTGATTGTTGGGGTCGTTGGCAGGCAAGCTATCTGCAGCCCTCTCGCTGACCGCTCAGGATGCTGCGCCGGCGCTCGACGCCGAAGCCGCGTCCGGCGCTTGGCACTGCGAGCGGCGCGCACGTCTGTCGGCAAATGGGAAGCGAGGTGGACGCAAGCGGAAGCCCAAGGGGTGTCAAGCCAGGGACTCAGGGTGCGTGGTGACTGGAATTTGGCCAGTTTGGCTTGAGCAGGCAGAGAAGCTCGCGTTTGCACAGGTCTCGAAATGGAAGTCTTGCCGGCCGGCCAGGAAGCAGGCCAGTTGGCTCTCGCTTGATCATTGTGACACAAGACTTGGTGGCAACTGCAGTTGGTCCTGGCCCCAATCTGTGATGCCCTTGGCTTCCCCTCGTCATTTGTAAAGTCTGGAGAGACGAGCTGCACTCGCAGCCCGAATAGATGAAGGCCAGAAGGCTTGGCCCCAGAATTGGGTGCACACATCCTCCCTTTAGATGCTCAACATGGTTTCGGGTCCCTAGTGCATCAGGTTTGTGATTGTGACGCAGATGGGATAGCAACTGGTGAGGGCACTTTTGGCAGGATCCGCGAGGAGCGCTGCAGCTGAAGGGGGTGCCGGTCCTACTGTTGCGAACGCGTTGACAGGCAGAAGAAGGAACATGGGGTCAGGTCCGAATTCGGGGGCCATGATCATCTTGACCAGTTAGATGAGTCTTGAAGCTTTTTAAGTTTCCGCCCTCCAAGTTGTTTCGTGCTTTGCACGCCCAGGTGGTGTGCACAACCAATCCGACTTCTGGAAAGCAATCCTTCTACGCTGTTGCCCGATCCTTGGCCGGCCCGCTTTGCCTTCGGTTTACAAGGCACACGCACACACACACACACACACACACACACATTTGTTTGACTCGGGCTTGAAGATCCTTTGGCTCAGGCATACCTGGGCATTCTGCGCTTCACTTCGCGCAAGACCCAGGACCTCTGGGAGGTGACGTGGTACCGCGAGGCCTCGCTGCATCGTTGTGGCTGGATCTGTGGTGGGAGTCAACGTTGGATTCCGCATACTCTGATTCGCCATGTCTGCAATGGTCGGAAAAGGCCTTAGTATGATCCAGAATCCAGAACGCGCAGTTGACAGAGGATCCAGAACGCGAGTCTTCTCGACCTTGGGAGCAACCACAAAAATCCGTGCAGCGGCCAACGTCTCGCGAAGGCGCTCCTGTGCCTGGTGCACCGGGTTCGGGACCTGCACGGTGCCATGGAGGCGCCAAGAAGCGTGGGAGTTGGCTGTGGTTCAAAACTAGATACCCCAAATGGCTTGCCCTTGCAAGTGGAGCCATGGACCAAAACTGGTCCCATGGTGGTTTCATGTTGACCCATACCCATTTGGGGCTTGCAGAAGGCAGCTTGCGGCTGATGAGGAGTCGAATCCTGGTGAAGCAGGTGGTTTTGGGATGTATCAAACCAAACAAAAGGGGAAACCTGTCTAAGTATCTTGCCTCCCAAGAGGATCCCTTGAGATGCGGAAGCCGTGCCGCAAGGAGCGGCTACTGTGCGCAGTGACGGAGGCGGGTTGGCCCATGGGCGTGGTGCAGTTGAAGTGAGGAGGTCCAAGTATCGGTTCCATTTTTTGAATGGTGTGAATTCTCCCTGTAAATTGTATAGTTTGAAGCCAGGGTGTTGAACATGTTGTGCATGACCGGGCCATTCTGGTACGAGGGCCCTTGAGTCATAGCGCTCGAAGCGAAAAGTGAGAGCCCGATTTGCTTGCTACATTCACATTGGTAGCGGAGCGTTGGTTGAACGACTCCGGGCAAGTCAGGGCGGTAGGTCATGTCAGTGGCCGGGCTTCGTTTCAGCCCGGACCATGGCGCTCGTGCAACAGACCCTGCTGAAACTCGGAGTGGTTCATACATCTATGGTGGAGACCCCGCTGGTTTCCATGATTGGGAATTCCGCACCAAGCTTCGCCTGAGGATGTATGAGGAGTTTCTGAGAACCAAGAAAACAGCCAAGCGGACTGTGAAAGAAGAAGGAGAAGAAGAAGAAGGTGGTTCTGCAGAAGCTGAGGAGGCCAAGGAGGCTTTTAGGGACACGAGGTCGGAGCTCACGCACCGGATTGTAGAAGGACTTCGGGGCGATGCGTTCTTGGTGGCCCGTGATCTCGGACTTGACGTCTTGAGTGAGCCGCAAGGTATTGAGAATTTGATCAAGCAAATGAGAGACATGGTTTTCCCAAGAGCCACTGAGGAAGCTCGTGAGCTGTTTCGTGTTGGTCAGAAACCTCAAGGAGCACTTTCCCGGCAGAGAGGGGAGAGTATGATCTCGTACATTTCTCGAAGGCGCAGATGGTGGAGGACCCTTGTGGAAATGGATCCAACGCTGTCGTTGTCTGAGCAGATGCGCTCAGAGTTGATGCTCGAGTTGGCGAACATCTCACACCAAGAGATCCTTGTGATCAGAGCCTGTTCGGAGGGCGGAAGAGAGCTAAGCAAGGTTGAAGAGGCCCTGATCAGGAATTACGGTGGAGTACATCTTCGAGAAGGAAGAGTGCTGGGCCCATCTTCGACTGGGAAAGGAGGCTATCAGACAAAAGGAAAGGGGAAGTCTTCTTTTCACAGCTCTTCATCTTCGTCTGGCAGTGGGTACTGGCGAAGGTCCGCGCTTCCAGCTTGGTCAGGGTATCCTGAATGGGAAGAAGGGGAGCCCATGAATCCGCATGAAGAGCTGAAGATGAAGGTTTCGGGTACACAGTGGACGGTGGTGTTGACAAAACACCGATGACCGATCCTGAAGAGGTGCTCGATTATGGCGAGTTTGAAGAGATAGGTGATGAAGGCGAGGCCACTGCTCTCAACGCCATGGAAGAGTTGGATGCGGAGAGCAGTGATCCGCTCAGTGTCGGAGAAGCCATTCAGCTGCAGCTGGCAGCGAATGCCGCCTTTGGTAAGGCCAAAGGAAAAGGGGGAAAAGGACCGAAAGGAAAAGGGAAAGGAAAGTTGGTTCGGTCACATCTGACACTGGAACAGCGCCGATCAAAGTTGCAAGAGTTGAAGAAGAGAAGCAAATGCCTCAGGTGTGGAGGGCACGGCCACTGGGCCGGTGACCCTGATTGCAAATTTCCGGGCCCAAAAGGGAAAGGTGACAAGCCTGCTGGATCAGCATTTGTGGTTTATGACAGTGACACTTCAAGTGATCACGAGATTTGCTTGCAGGCAGGTCAGGCACCTGAAGGCGTGGCTTTGGTAGTGTCCAATTCCAGGTCGTCTAGATCAGGCAAGGGTTACACAAAGGCGAATGCGTCGGATTCTGTGCCTGTTCCACGGAGCCCACCTAGATCGTCTGACCCTGTGCCCATTCCCATGAATACCCCTTCCGAGGATCAAGATGCAGTCACGAGAAACAACAGAGCTCGAATCGTGGTTCGTGAGGGGGAGATGGATGAGGACCTGGAAGGCGGTGAGCAGAGGATGCTTCTCGGGAAGTACAAGGGAATGACATATCGGCAAATTGTCATTCAAAACCCTCAGTATGTAGCATGGGGATTGTCACAGAAGAAGCCATCGCAGGTTTTGCAATCTTTCCTCAGCTGGGTCATGAAGCATTACGTTGTTGAGGGAAGCACACTGACGAAGAGATCGCTTTTAGCTGTTCCCCCGGGTACGTACAACCCCATGGAAAAGCCATCTTCGTCGAGGAAGCCACCGAATCCACCCCTTGAGAAGTGTGTGGAATGCAAGTATTTCTCGTATCAAGGATCAACAGGATACACGGTTCGGAAAACTTGCAGAGATTGTGGCCATGCGACCACGACGAAACGGGAAGACAAACCAACTCATTCTGTTGAGAACTGTCCGCATGAGCTGGTTGATCACAGAGGTTCTTCCCGGTCGACGTTTCGAGTGTGGTGCAAGCAATGTGCTAGCTTCATCAGTGAAATGCCCATGGAAGATAGAAAGGAAATGAAGGCAACATCAAAGCAGGTTGAGCAGGCCAACATCACTGTGGCACCCATCATACAAGGACTTGCTTCAGCAGATGCCCAACATAGGTTGTCAGAAGGTCAAGTGGAGGAAATTGTAGGTACGTTTTCGGCGGTTGTGACCCAATCTCTCGCGGCAGGTGAGGAGCTGGCAGCTGCAGACCTGCACATCATCCTGCAGGACTGTGTGGTGGAAGTGACGCAAGGGGGTGAGCCAGCATCACCACCCTGGGAAGCGGTCGCTTATCACGGGATGGACGACGAGATGAAACCTGACACGGTGTCCGTTCAAAACTTTCCTGTTGTTGACATTTATGCAGAAGACGAAGAGGATGTGTGGGGAGCGTTGGATGAGGGTTGCAACAGCACGGTCCACTCATCTTATTGGGCAGATGAGATGGAGAAGAGGCTTAGGAAGCAGGGCATGAGCATGCCATGGATTAACAAGGAAACGAAGAGGTTTACTGGTTTGGCCTCGAATGCGGTGACCTTGGGCATGCGAAGAATGCCGTTTGCGATGTGTTTGACCAATGATGAAGTTATTTCAGGCACTTTGGAGTCACATGAGTTGAACTCTGGCAAGACACCTTTGTTGATTTCCTTGTATGCTCAAGCGACTTTGGGCTTGGTGAAGGACATGGGTGCAGGAACAGTCAACATCAAGGGACATGGCGAACTCAAAATCCACAGATGTTCACGAACAGGGCTGATGATGATTAACCTCTCGGAATTTCAGAAGTACCAGCAAGTTAGAAAACTGCCCAAATCAGTTCGTGCGCTCAGAGCTGAAGTGATTTTCCCTCCTGCGGCAATGGCTGGTGGTAAGGATGAACCTGATTGTGTGCAGCTCCTGCAGGGGACGTACAGGTACAACAGGGTGCCGGAGTTGGTGTGCGACACTGGCACTGTGGTATTCTCGGTGGGGCTGCGTTGGGATTTTGCCAACCACGAGATGATGAAGATGGAGAGAGATCACGACGTGGTGATGGAGATCTTGCCGGAGAACCGCAGGAGTTTGCCGACGGTGATGCTGGACTGCAGGGGCATTCATGACCCTGATTGCGGCCGGTATCGAGGACACGTTGGCAGGCATTTGCAGATCATCAAGGGGGTCTACACACTTGAGATGCGTGTTCTGTTGAGACGAGCCCTTGCTTTTTATCAGGAACATGGCGGCGCATGCAATGTGGTATTTGTATGCAAGAGCGGGCGTCATCGGAGTGTCTCAGGTGCGACCTTGTTTGGTGCAATGCTGTGCAGGATGGCTGAGGACAACTGGCGCATTGTGCACTATCACAGTGACAGCTGGAGAAGAATGGACTGTGGCGGTCATTGCGAGATGTGCAACATGACGGAGGCGAATGCGAACAACCTGATTGAGATGGTGGAGAGTTCGTTCCCGAAGGAGCAGAGAAACGCTCCCAAGCCGGCGGCTCCTCGAGTTTCGACGCCGAAGCCTATGCTCATGAAGATTCAGTCCAAGGCGAAACCCCAATCGGTGGCGAAGGAGGACCCGGTGAAGGTGCCAGCTGTTGAGGAGAAGAATCAGGAGATGGAACAGTTGAAGGCCGAGGTGTCTCGGCTTGCTGGTATGGTGAAGGGACTCGTGGAGGAGCGCGACAAGGCCAGGAGCTCGAGGGGCAGGTCAAGGACACCTCTCAGGCGTACGAGCCGATCCACATCGTCAAGGACGTTGGAGTTGGGTAGTGCGCCATGGAGGGAGTTCGACAGCCGCGAATCGCGGAAGAGGAAGGCAAGCTCACCGGAAACATCACGGGATGATTCTGCGCGGTCAGCGCGTGGTGACACGGACTTCATTGGCGATGTTGACCCTGATCGTTGTGGACCTGGAGATTTCTCGGCACGATCAACGAGACCATTTGAGATGAGCTTGCAATACAATCAGAGGGCGCAGCTTCAGTTGACGCCGAAGTACTGGTTGCAGAAGTTCGTGGAGAACGTCACTCATGATCACGAAGGATGGATTGGTCCTTACGAGATTGATCAGTCGAAGAAGGAGAAGCCAGTGAAGGAGATGAACTATGAGATGAATATCAAGTATTATCTGCGGGTGCGTGGCTATGGTCAGTCGTTCAGGATGCCGCAGGAGTTCATCAAGAGAGGCTGGCGGAAGACGGTGTTTGCTCGGCCCAAGGGTGGCGACCACGATGAGTGGCGCCTGTTGGTGCAGGATGTTCCCGCGAAGATGCGGGTGGACTATCCGAAGGATAGCATAGCCGTGGTGCTCCTGCAACCACCGATGGCCGAAGTTGAAAAACGAGCAAAGGGGAAGTCGAGAACAGCCAGCGTAGTCACAGGTGCACGCAAAAGCCCCCCGTTGAAGGAATGTACGGTGCTTTCTCCTTCAAGTGATTCATCGTTGGAAGCAACAGCTTTGATGGCGATTGGTGAAAGCCACAAAGGAACCATGAGTAAGGGACAGAAGAGGGAATTCGTGAATGGGCTTCGCACCATGAATGAGAGGGATGCCGATTTGCAGTATGTTCTGGGTAGACGGGACATGCCGTTGGTTTCCCCGGTGCACACTGTTCTCATTACATCGGATGGTCCATGTTGCCGTACTCATGGGATCCAATGTGTGTCGGTCGGCAAGGACGCCCACAGGGCTGACCTGGTAGCCATCAAGAAGGAGCTCGACAAAGGCGGCGCATGCACGGTTGTTGTGGCCATTGAGTACTCTGACTGGTCAACTTCCTTGAATCACTCGGATATCATGGACATGGTGATTTCGCATTGCGAGTTGGTAGGAGGAAGATATTTGGAAGTGGATCTTGCAGAAACAAACAGGTGGTCGCAGCACTCCATTCATCTGTATCCGGAGTTGTGCGTTTCAGACGTGGGGTATGTTACTAACGACATTTTGCTGGGAGAAGCATTCGAAGCATGGGTGAGTATGAGTTACCCGTCATATGTGCCCAGGTCGATCGGTGAGGTTTGGACCTCGGAGTTCCTGGACTTCCTGAGCGAGAAGGCACATGAGGCTTCGGCACAGGACATGTTGTCGGTTGGTTTCCCCGTTGAAATGCAAGAAGATGAACAGGAGGAGGCAGTCACCTTTGACATGCCGGATGATCCTGATTCGGATTCACAGAGGGATGAAGTGTTCAATCCTGTGTTGAAAGGAAATGCGGAGATGGCGGAATGGGAAGTGCTGGATAGCATAGACATTCCGGATTTGCCAGCCAAGGAGCAAGAAAGGAGAAAGGCCTGGCGGGCGATACCGCAGAAGGTAAGGGTGGCGGTGCGACGCTTGCACAGGCAGTTCGGTCACCCGGCGCCACGAACGTTGGAGAGCTTGTTGAGAAGCGCGAAGATCGCAAAGGTATACATCGAAGCACTCAAACTGCACAGATGCCCAGATTGCGAGAATAGTGCGCCGAAGAAACCTACACACAAGACCATGCTGCCGCACAGGTACAAATTCAATCACACCTTGGGGATAGACTTGTTTGACGTTTCGGATGCCAAGGGTGACAAGTATCTGGTGCAGAACATGTTGTGTTGTGGCACAACGTTTCAGCAGGTAAAGGCCCTAAGAAAAGGAAAGGGGCAAGCTTCAAGTGCAGAATGTTTGAGAGCATTGGATGAACGCTGGTTCGCCTGGGCAGGACATCCGTCAGAGCTGGTGTCGGACCGAGGATTACACAATCGAGGAGTTCTGGCGAAGTACATGTCGGCGAATGGAATCCAAGTGTTTCACGCTCCGTTGCAAACGCCTGAAGCCATTGGACGTGTGGAACGCCATGGAGGGATCATCAAGGCAATGTATAGGAGAGTGTGTAGTGAGACACAACCGGTCGGCATTGATCAGGTGGACCAAGTGCTGACGCAATGTTGCCGGATCAAGAACTCCATGCACAGAGTGGGCGGCTACAGCCCATCGCAATGGGTTCTAGGTACATGCCCGAGAGGAGCACCTAGCTTCATGGATGAAGAAGGTTGGACCGACCTTGGAGCGATTGGGGACAGGATTGATCCCGATTCCATCTTTGCACTTCAGCACAAAGCAAGAATGGAAGCAAAGAAAGCATTCGTAGAACTCGATTGCAGCAAGCGCGTGCAAAGGGCGTTGCTCAGGAACGCGCAGCCGATTTATGAGAACTACGAGGTCGGGGACATCGTGTGTTTTCGCAGAGATTTCATGGGGAAGACCCAATGGAGTCCGGCAAGCAGAGTGATCGGAAAAGAAGGTGACAAGAAGGTTTGGGTGTTGTGTGAAAACATCCCAGTACTTGTTGATGGGAGGAATCTGAGACCGGCAAACGATGCTGAGGCCCTAGGGAGGTTGATTCTTCATGGACATGACATTGTGCCAGAGGAGATTATCAAAGAACACGGGCAGCAGGCGTTCGAAGACGCGAGTCAGGTCCCAGTTCCCGAAGGTGAAGTCCCTAGTGACCCGGAACCGGAAGAGACTGAGGGATCCGGATTGCCGAGAATCCCGGAACATGGGTTGCTTGAAGATGAGGATGAGCCCATGAGAGCTGCGAGAACACGGGATGCCGAGATCGCAGGCCGAAACGTGAGGCCGCGAGTTGAAAGAACATCTCCTGTTTTGGAGCCAGATCCTGAAAGAGGGACGATTGGTAGTGAACCGCAGTCCAGACGCACGAGTGCACAGTTAGTGGATGATTTGCCCGATTCCATTAGGAGCCACTTTGAACAGATGAGTGGGCAGCAGAGTGCGAGCTCGGAGGACGCAAGCATGACTGCCAATATGGCGTTTGGCCATGTTCATGTGAACAGAGAGAAGTACGTGGCATTCATCGCAGATAGGGTTAGCGAGACAGAGAACGCACAGAGAAACAAGAATGCGGTGCAAGAAAGGTTGCTCGTATATGACGAAGCAAGTGAGGAGGTGCAGCGTGCATTGACAGAGGCTAGAGCGGCCGAATGGGAGAAATTCCAGAAGTTCGGAGCAGCTGTTCCCATTGACGGAGAAGAACTGAGAGGTCTGTTGGATGCAGGTCATGTTGCCATTCCGTCAAGATGGGTCGAGGTTGACAAGAACGATTTCCAGAGAGGTCAGCCTGGATATAAACCTAAGTACAAGAGCCGTTTGGTGATATGCGGAAATTTTGAGGATCGTGAAGGACTTCGAGGTGACGCACCAACTGGTGACGTCGAGGCTCACCACATAGTATGTGCTTGGGCAGCAGCTCATCAGGTGGCGGTGAAGTCCTGTGACATCACCAGCGCGTATTTCCAGGCCCGAGAGTTGGATCGCGTGTTGCTTATGCGACAGCCACGAGGAGGACTTCCGGACGTTTCCCCGACGGCGTATCTACTGGTTAGGAAACCGGTCTATGGCTTGACTGACAGCGGTCGAGGTTTCTGGTTGCAGGTGAGTGCAGATGCAGCGGCATGTGGATTGACATCGAGTAGGATTGTTCCTGCGTTCTATTACCATGTTGCGGATGGCAGAGTAGATGCAGTGATGACCACTCATGTGGATGATTTCCTGTATGCCCACACTGAAACCGGAAAGGTTACGATCGAGAACTTGTTGAGCAAGTTTGTTGTCGGAAGCAGCGAGGAAGGCAATTTCAGGTATTGCGGAAAGCGTATTAGCCAAGAGAAGGACAGCTCGATCAAGATCGACGTGGATGACAACACTAGGAAGCTGAGCATGATCAAGATCGAGATAGGCAGAAAGTTGACCGATGCAGTAAACCCATTGGAACTGTCGCAGTTGAGGTCAGTGGTTGGATCTCTTTCGTGGATTGCCAGACAGGGACGCCCTGATCTTTTGTACAGGACGTCGAGGTTGCAGTCTTTGACCAAGGCAGCCACTGTGGCTACCTTGAAGGAGGCCAACAAGACTGTCGAGCTGGCGTTGGAAGGCATTGGGTCGAGTCTGTATTTCCATGCGGGAAGACTTGACTGGCAAAATGTCGGTATTCTAACAGTCACAGATGCGTCATTTGCAAATGAGGAGAACCATAAGTCACAACAGGGGCGTTTCCATTTCTTGGTGTCCAGTGAACAGGCAAGGGATCAGAATTGCGAGACGTTTGATGTAGTGCCTTTGGGATTTGCATCGAGCACGATAAAGCGAGTCTGTCGTGCAACTATGCAGGCAGAGACGTATGCATTGCAGAATGGGATCGAGAGCGGAGACAAGCTCCGAGCAGTGATATGTGAGACACAGGGACGGTTGCAGAATTTGACTGGTTGGTACGAGACTATCAAGAAGTATGTCCCGCACACATACTTGAGTGATTGCAGATCACTTGTGTCCCATTTGAAGACAGAGGTTCCACCGAAGATAGCAGACAAGAGACTATCTATCGAGATAGCAGCCATCAGACAATCATTGTGGAATGAAGACGGAACGCGTACAGCAGTATCATTTCCAGAAGGAGGAGATCGGATTCGCTGGATTGCAACTGCCACAATGGTTGCGGACTGTTTCACGAAACCAATGAAGGCGGACTTCATGTGGAAGGTGATCAACACTGGAGTTTATGTGGTCGAAACAGATCCGAATGAGAAGTCGTGAGAACAATGTGACAGAGTGTCACATCCTTTTTTTGCTGTGAAGCGGTTCAACACCTGAAAGCAGGTTGAGTGTGAATTCTCCCTGTAAATTGTATAGTTTGAAGCCAGGGTGTTGAACATGTTGTGCATGACCGGGCCATTCTGGTACGAGGGCCCTTGAGTCATAGCGCTCGAAGCGAAAAGTGAGAGCCCGATTTGCTTGCTACATTCACAAATGGTTTTGCAGGGGGCGCAGGAAAGAAGCCATGAATTACAAGAGATCAAAAGGACGTTGCCAGTGAGCGAAGGCATGACAAAGAGGGAGCAAAACGGGGCTTTCGAAGGGACACCCATTTGGGTGCGTCTCAAAATGGGTGGACGCCCCAAGATGAGTGAAGTATCCTGTGAGCAACCGAGGGAATGTGACAAAGGGAACATCCACGGTTACCAAGACTCCCCTTCCTCAGCAACCCCACAAAAAGGTATCCTCAGAAAAAGGAACAGCACCATTTGGCCGTGGGTCAAAAAGTAGGTACCCCAAATGGAACCCTGGTACATGGAAACATGGACTGAAACCTGCGGTCCATATCCTGGTGGCTTAGTTTTGACCCATACCCATTTAAAGACCCACCTTTTTTTGGGTTGAATTTTCTTCGAGTCCCTGCCCCTCAAAGAATTCAAACCGACAGGAACAGGGCTGTGGGATCAAGGGGTTTCTCCATCCGCTTCTGTGATACAAGGGAATCTTCCCTTTACGGATCAGCCTTTAAGCCCATTTTGTTGTACAGAAGTGGATTCCATGTCCCACAGCCCTGATTCTGTTCTTTACAGTCCTTTAGAGTGTGTTTCTCTAATATTTTTCATGTTCATGAGGAGCGCCCCAGTTTGCTATGCAGTTTTCCCGAATCATGACATCTAAAGCGAGCCGTGCCCCATCGGTCAAAAATGTCCCGCCGCCCAGCGAGGCGCTGCCCTCCGTCCGGGCCCTGGGCTTGCGCCTGGCGGTGAGGCCCGTCGATGGATCCCGGTTCGCGTGCAGTCGGTTCGCGGGAAGTGGGTTGGCACCTACGGCGGCCGTGTGTGTGTGTGTGTGTGGAGTGACAGAATGCCCTGTCACCACTCTTTCGGTTTTCAGCAGGGGCGTGCAGCACCTTTGGCATACTGCACGCAATGAAGCTATTGCCAAAGGTGGGAAGGGTGTCCAGACGTGGACACCTGTACCTGCTTCAGTGATTCTGAAAGTCTTTTTGGCCCCCTTGGTTGCGGCGCTGTTTGTGCTTCTTGTTCTTTCGGGTAACGTGTTCGCTGCTAGACGGAAACCAAGTGACTGCAAGCCGAACCTACACCCACTCGAGACTCATCATTTGTACTCGAGACTCATCAGTTGTACTCGAAAGATTAGCACTCTCCATCTGGAGTTCAAGTGTGTACACCCCATTCGTGGGGAATCCTCGGGTGTACCCATTGTGTGACCCCGGGCCGGCTCTGTCGGAAAATTTGACCTCAACGTGCTTATCATAGAACAGCGGAATTTCACATTTAACCAGGAACGAGGTTTCACTAAAGGGAAGACAGCCGTCAGATCATAGCGACGTCTCACCAATGCTGCTGTTGGCTGCTGTTGGCTGCTGACTTGCACTTGCATTGACTTGCATTTTGTCGGACTTGTTCCTCTCAAGATTGTGGACTTGCGGGTTTGTGTTTACTGCGCCATCATGTCTCGGCGTGATGATCGCGACAGATCTAGGACTCGGCGCAGACGTGATCGGAGCCCTTCCCCTCAAGCTCGCAAAGCACGCCGACGTGAACACGATGACAACCAGGTCTCGGAGGGCGTGGATTGGAACAACCTGGTATCTTGGCAACACAATTCTGGCTACAACTCTGCCAACAATTTCCCGATGATACCCACCAATTTTCAATCGACTCACTTTCCCACACAGCAATTCCAACAACCTGCGATCAACTACATGATGCCGATCCCTCCTGACCCCGCACCCACGAAGTTCATGCCACCCGTGATGCCACCACCGGTCACTACTACCCAACCTACACCACCACTTGGACCTCCTGCGGCTCTACCGGTTCGCCCTCAGAAAACCTGGCTTACACCTTCGCCTGACTGGACACCTGGAGATGGCATGTTTGATGTCAACCAGCTCTACAACTTTAGCCTGCCCATGACCGTTGCCAACACACCGCATGGCAACCTGCGCGACATGTCAGGCATGGATATTCGGGAAGTTCGCCTGGTTCAGGTTACCCACGGGGGCCTCACCAACTGGCTACTCCGACCGTTCGCTCACGGCAGATTCGTGACGTGGGAAGGCTTTCGCACTCGCACCGAGGCCTTACTTTGGAGTACCTGTTCCAAACTACTACGACGATCACAGTCGCTCAACCTGCTCACCCTGGAAAAGGACCTTGCCAACTCGCTGGGTCTCAACATCGATGACTTCAATCAGCGGATCAAGGTTCATGACCATTTGGCCAGTTTGGTACTTCAATTTCTTCAGCAACAACACACCTCTCTCACACCTTCTACCCAGACAGATGACATGGTCAAGAAGTACAATGATCTAAATCGTGCGCACGAACTACTCCAAGCTCAGTATTCCGCATCGCTGCGCGCTTCGACCTCTCCCACGATGGCAAGCCAAAAAGATGATGCAGAGTTGGTTACACCACCACCGGTCAACCACACACCATCCTCGTCGCCGGCCAGTTCCCTTCCTACAGCCAGCGCAGCGGCCCTTGATGGCAAGTCGTTTGATAGCGCGGTACAACCTCGGATCATTCAGTCTCTTCACGGAGTGTCGTCACCGCCGTCCAAGCCGGCGGCGTCACAATTGCTCACCATGCACAGCACGCCGGATGAAGTTGTCAAGTACTACACATGGACCAGTGACCAGCCTCGCCTTTATCTCAAGCAATCCCCACAACCACGACTTTGGCGTCACTGGTCAAGTGGGCCAATCACCCGTCCCGGCTCAACGGCAACAAGTCATTAGATTCCATGGCGACGCAGCTCCTTCAAGCGCGTCAACGCATGCCGAAAGGCGACGCACCCACTCTCGGGGCGATGGCGGCATCGTGGGGACTGGAACCCGGCTATCTGACCAAGCTCACTGAGAAGGCATTGAGTCACCTCATCGTGACCGCTCGCCTACTCAGCGGATGAGCAGGCATCTTAACGACCTTCGTTCTCTTATGAGCCCGGAGCGGCAACCCTGTCACGGATGAGTCAAGGTGAAAACTCGTCCGTTATCTTTCTGCGTTGCGTCAGTTTGACCTTGTGCTTGATCGTTCTTGCATTGCCTTGTGTGTGATTGTCTGTGCAGCTTGTATCCATGTCGCCGCCTTATGATAGATTTCAGTGGTTGCATTTTCAGCATGTTGAATGAGCTTCGCCGCTGTGGAATCTATGATAATGTTGCACAATGGCAGTCTCTGGACAACTTTTTACACTCGTTGACCAGGTTCTCTACGTGCTGGCAATATTGCTTCCCTGGACTACCACCACCGTCGATACCAACTGATGAGTACGAATCAATCACGCAACTACCGTGGTTGGGCCTCATTCTCGAAGTCTTAGTTGTGGTCCGGATTGCCCTTCAGATTCCGAATCACGCTATGTCACACTCTCAGCACACTGTAGCCAACAGGTATGAGACTCATAGATGTCGGTGCACTGCCTATTTATTGATCAGTTTCTTACAACGTCTCATTTCCCAAGATCATGGCTACTTTCCGCCGTTCTTTGAAGTTCTTCACTTCTACAAAGCTTCCCTCTTGTGTGAAATCATGCACTCCACTTTTGCCGACACGCGACATCTTCGCTCATTGCGGGCACGATTTCCTGACCTCTATGACTTCATACACGATCCAGGTCATCATCAACAACCGTGCGTCTACATCCGACTTTCACCATGGCACACACCCTACTACGTTGGTGCGACTGACCAGGATGTTCTACGACGTGAACACTCACGCAGTCGCAAATTTCTACAACTACTTCGTGGACGTCATGCCTTCTTCGAACCCGCGCTTCACTACTGGAAGCGATCTAATACTTACTGGCTCTTCTGTGCTGTTCCGGTTGAGATCAAACTTCCTGTTTCCTCGGTTTGGGTCCAAGAAAGCAAATGGCAATACTTGCTACGCCCGCATTTGAATGCACCCTGGGTACACAGACTTTTGCGAAAGGTGGGCCTCCGGGAACACCTCGTTGATTTTCGACGTCACTCCTTGTCGTCTCCCACTTCCCTCAGCTTGCACAAACGCTTTCGACGACGACTACATCCGGAACTCCAACGGCAGCTACGACCCAACATGCTGGATGACATTCAGGCCCATTACTCTATTCTCTATCAGCTGGGATCCAATACAGGAGCATCGTTCCAATCCATGCGTGGCCTACTGTCGGCAGCTTTCCCTCCTACGCAGCTGTACTACTTTCTGCGGCTCGTCGTCTTTGTCAACGAGCCCTTCCGCTCCAAGGCACAGAAACTCCTCGCCCAATTGTTGCGCAAACGGCGGCTACAACCACCCACCACTTTGACACAACTACTCCTGCCGCCTCTACATGTCCGAAATTGGAAAGCTCTACTTGGCACATGGCTACAAAGCTGGATTGCTTCTCACCGGGATTTGTTCCCTTCTCTTTTCCTTCCAAAGATCCGGGTGGTGGAAACTCGCAGTGCCACGTTGGGCGACAAGGTCTACAACTACCGCACATGGCAGCGCAGATGGACTCCTGAAACATCCTTTCCGTGTCGCTGTTTGGACATCGATGATCACCATATACACCGAGCACATGGTCATGCTGTAATGGTTGATGAGTTTTCGCGCGTCAATGCGGACATTGACATGGAAATTATGGCTGCATCCATGAAGGATCAGTACTTCGGTGATGTCGACTTATTACATCAACGTTTCACCACGCAACTTCGCAAACTTGCTCGTCGCTGGCATGTGCACGGTTCCAGTCTTCTTTCAGATCTGCAGCCGGTTCTGACCCAGTTAATGGACACTCATCGAGCCAACCTTCAAGATCGTGCTTATTGGTCATCGACATCGTTGCAGCGCACCGTGGCTTCTCTGTCATCGTGGGTTGTTATCCCTGCGGATCATTTTCCCTCTTGCGCACATGTGATTTGTCCGTCCTTGTTTGCCACACTGATGCGCAAGACCTTCTGCTCGGGAGATGTCTTCTCACTTTGCCGTGAATCCGCAGCATCTTTTCGCTCTGAAGTGGTAACTACGGTACCTTCTCTCCTACGTCAACGATATGCATGGGGACTTCGACTTCAAGCACCGTTGCCCACAGCACGCATCCTTCCAAAGCCGACCAAGGACTGGCAGAAAGCGCGACCCATCATTTCATTCTTTCGCACGTGGGCAGCTCCCTTCCTCACGGTCTTCGGCGCACTCATATTTGAACTTACCAAAGCTACTTTCCCCGACATTGCCGGTCAACTTTCCGTACAAGAACTTGTCCAGCAGCTGTGGGAATCGCTGTCAAAGGCAGATCCCGATGAATACATCCACCTGGTGTCGCAAGACCTGTCAGGCTTCTTTACGTCCATTCCTACGGAGCGATTCCACCAGGCGCTGCAAGTGCTTCTTCATCGGTACGATCAAGTTGTTGGCCTTCGCAGATCCTCTCAATGGTCAGTGTTCGAAGTAAAGTCGGATCATCGACGCCGTATGTTCAAAGGAAAATGGCGTCGCCAGACCAAGATCCCTCGAACTTTTCATGAACAAGATCTCCGGCACCTTCTGGACTTTGTCATTGACAACAGTCACTTCGAGATCAACGGATACTTATTTCGCCAAGAACGGGGAGTCGCTATGGGATCGCCAGCCGCGCCACCGCTATGCAATTTGGTTGCCACGGTTGAGGATTTCTTCTGGCACCAAACAATGTGTTCTCTGCGTTTTCGCACGCCCGACATTGGTGTGATCTGGCATGAGCGCTACGTCGACAATCGTTTCATTCTGCTTCGT